TAATCACTGGATTGCCATATAGCTGGAACATTGCTGAGTGCGGCGTTAAACAGCAAACAAACAAAAAACACATGTAAATGTTTACAATAAGAATGCACCCGTGCTATTACACCGTGTTGAAGAAAATATGTTTGATTTAACAACGTATATTTCAGAGATAATTTGCATTCAAAATAATTTTTTCAAAATAAATAAGCGCAGCGCATAATATCCTTCTAATACGTGAACCGCCGTTCGAAATTCGTGTATTTATAAGACTCACTTGATATTTATTTATAACAGTTTCTCGTTAACTTCATAATTCTTTGGCCGTGTATGATGATAGGGATTTTACGATCGCTTCCTCTATTCCGCCGAATGAATGGGGTGTTCGCGAGCCTAGACTACACTAAGCCACGCAAAATCTACATAAATCCGGTGTATGAGTTGTATTATTTAAAACCTTTTTTTGAAATGGCTTTTAATAGGTTTCCTATATGTTATATCACTGAGTTTTTGAATGTGGTTTAAATTCTTTTATTTCCCACTCCAATAGCAGAAAAGGCGAAAATATTTTATGCAATGAATGGGTTACCTCCCTTTAAAAGGCAACAGAATTGACAAAGTATGACCCCATCAGCTGATATTTAACTTATTTTTTTTCAACATGCCGGTTCAGATTTCGCTGGGTTTTTTAAAAATATTTTTAACCAATATTACTGAAAATATTTTTTCAAGTATATTTGTTTGTTGTCATGCATTCAGCAATATTCCAGCTGCATGACTGCGGTCTGTATATAATCTACAATTCCCAAAATACAATTATATATATTTCCATAAACTCTGCGAAGTAATCGAGCAAGAAATAAAATAGGTTATATGCTAAATGTCGCTTCATTAAACAAAAGGTGTGAACAACATATCACAAAGGCAACGCATCTGTTGTCTTCCAACAACAAAATACGAATGCAGGGACCGTTTTGGTCTCTTGAATCATACTTACGATTTCAACAGGAATGTCTTCTCTGAAGGACGCTTAGCTGAACTGTTCCTTACTGTGGCGAAACTTAATGCGGCGTTTTTTCTGAAAAGTGAGTTGGCTTCAACGCCCGTTTTAATGTTCCAGTGATGTCACGGCGTGTCAGCTAAATGTGGGAGGAAACTCAATCTCAATAATCTCAATCACATTACGGGTCACCTTCATCCGACCAATCGGGGAGTGAGTGAGTGAGTATGGTTTTACGCCGCTTTTAGCAATATTCTAGCAATATCACGGCGGGGGACACAAGAAATGCGACCAATCGGATACGCGATCAGGAAAGTTACAGTTGGAATGTGTTTTCTAATCATGCAACCTTAAAAAATGACAACACAATGTATTCCAAACGGCAGTACGACTGATTCCGTTAAACACATCGTGTAACTCTCGCTTCAATATAGGCTTAACGTGTACAAGGAACTGACGTTACAAAGCCCGTGGGAAGTGCTGCCATACAATCTCGGCCATCCCAAAAAACGTCGAGTCTGCACCAGACAAACAAGTGATTGACATCATGAGTACCCATCAACGCAAGAGGGATACGATGACATGTGCCACAAACCAAGTCAGTGAGGCTGTCGCTTCTTACGTTTGTTTGTTTGTATGTATGTTGTTTAACGCCGCACTAGGCCCAGAGCATTAGACAAAATTCACGACCTGGAAAAAAAATAGTAGAAAGCCGAGGTAAGAGGCGACTAACGGAATCGTGTGGTCAGGCTCGCTGACTTGGTTGATGCGTGTCATCGTATCCCAATAGCGTGGATCTATGCCCATGAGACCCGTGAAGATTCCGGGGTAGAATAGGTCTTCAGCAACCCATGCTTGCCGTAAAAGGTGACTATGCTTGTCGTAAAAGGCGACTAACGGGATCGGGTGGGCAGGCTCGCTGACTTGGTTGATGCATGTCATCGATCCCAATTGCGAGGATCGATGCTCATGATATTAATCACTGGGTTGTCTTGTCCAGACTCGATTATTTACAGACCGCCGTCATATAGCTGTAATATTGCTGAGTGCGGCGTTAAACAACAAATCAACAACCAAGATCGTTTGTTTAAACAACACTGTTGGCAATATCAGTCTACATCAGTCGCAAGTAAGAATCTCGAGAATTGTTTGATATTCTGAGTAGTCGAGCATTTTAATATAGGCAGCTTCAGCATCTGCACGATGTACTCGCACACATATAAAATTGTGTGATCTGGTAAATGTAATCTTTGACAACGCCAGTATCACAGGTCATGGTACTTGGCATGTTTTGAGTGAGTGAGTGAGTTAGGATTAACGCCGCTTTTAACAGTATTCTAGTTATACCACGGCGTGTCAGCCTAATGTGGGGGGAAAGCCCGAAGTGATGCAGATCTCAGACGTTTACCACTTCGGTGAAACCCACGAGCACGGGTATGGTGCTGCCAAACGTAAAACCATAATCGGGGCGAACCGGGATTCGAACCCGTGCCCAAGGGACGCAACTCTTCACAGCGAATCGCGGCGCCTTAGTCGACTGGGCCACCCGTGCCCCTGGCACGTTTTGCTGTGGTATTGCATGTGTCACCCTTCTAGGTCCTGAGGCAGTCCAGGCTCTACCCACGGTCTACCAAAAGGGTCATGTCTGCTGCTTCTGCATGTCCTTTCGGTCAAGTTCCATCGAAAGTATAAAAAAACACATCAAGATTCAAGTCCATCAAGTTTTTTGCCTCTTGAACTTTCAAAGTCAAATTCGGTTTTGTTTTGCACAACAGTTGGCTGAAAAGTGTTCACTTGGTGTTTGCCACGTCACATTTGACCAGCCTCTCTACACCAAGGCAACCGAAATTGTGAAATCCTCCTCCCCAGGACTAATTAAGATGGAAGTTTGACTTGGAGGGTTTCACTTACTCATGTCGTATATAGGATTGATTGGATATGTCATGAGTAGAAGTGGCTTAGAAGATTTGTGGGCAACTGTCGCTGCCCAAAACAACCGTAGTGAGTGGGTATTCCGCCAAAAACGTGTTAAATTATTCTTCAGTTCTATATAAACCAAATCCTAATTATAGCTCAAGAGTGAGTGAAGTATTGTTTAAAAACTTATGAAAAGAGCTTTCACTTGATATTTTGCATGATATCATGTATGCAAATCTACAAATTTTCATATCATTTCCAAAAATAATGGTGGCCATCTTGGAAATGCCAAAAGAGGGAACCTTGGGAACTTAGTGCCATGGGCATCAGTATGACTTTCTGAAGGTCCCCAGAAAAAAAAATCAGCATTTTACTATTTTTTTCCAGGCTACCTAATGTTCTTGGCCTAGCAGCAATATTCCAGCTTTATGACGGCGGTCTGTTAATAATCGAGTCTGGACCAGACAATCTAGTGATTGACATCATGAGCATCGATCCACGAAATTGGGATACGATGACATGCATCAACGGTGTCAGCGAGCCTTGCCACCCGATCCAGTTAGTCGCCTCTTACGACAAGCATAGTCGCTTTTTACGTCAAGCATGGGTTGCTGAAAACCTATTCTACCCCGGATCTTCTCGGGTCGCTAATATGAACGAGCATCGAAATTACCGCATAATTGTCGACCCGTGTTCTGGGTTAGAATAGGTCTTCAGAAATCCATGCTCGTCGTTAGAGGCGATCGATTAACGAGAACGGGTGGTCAGGCTCGTTGACTCTGACGCATCAGGGAGAAATATTATGTCCAATGCAATTCCCGATTTTGACTTATAACGTATGTTGACCCGTGAAGATCCGGGGTAGAATAGGTCATCAGGAATCCATGCTGGTCCAGACTTGATTATTTACAGACCGCCGCCATATGGCTTGACTATTGCTGAGAATTCTTATAAATATGGAAAGAGTTTTGTCGCTGTTATTTACATCAAAGAATGCTCCTGACTTTGTCATGTTTATGAAGAACCCATGTGTTTTTTGAGAACGCATTTGAACCCCACTTCCATGGTGGGGAGTTTGGAATAGTGTTTTCTGTGTTCTGTACGGCCATTTAGTTTGTACTTTACTCTAAAGAAAATTGTAATCCCAAATATAGTCCTGAAATGTTCGTCAAAACAAATTACCTGCAGAGCAAACACAGGGACTCGTAAAGCCCTCTCATTTGATTTGTTTTGTTTGTTGTTAAACGCTGCACTCAGCAATATTCAAGCTATATGACGGCGGTCTGTTAATAATCAAGTCTTGATTTCAATCCAGTGATTGGCATTTGAACACGGTGAATTCAAAGGGCTTTAATTATTTAATATTCATTTTAAGAAAAGGGACCAATGTTATATTTCTACGACTGACAGATCCCCCCCCCCCCCCCCCCCCGCCAACACACACACACACCGCGACTAATCAAACCCTCACACCCATACGACTAAATAGAGGCGACAAAAGCCTTTTCCATATTCATACAAAATCTCTGCTAAAACCAGTCGTTTGTACCACTCATGACTATATCATGAGCATGTGCCTATGAATCGCTATTGATTTGTTTGTCACATAGCTGGAATATTGCTGAGTGCGGCGTTGAACCAACCAACCAACCAACCATATTCAGGCCGCCAGATCTACAAAACAAATTTATGGAAATTCAAAACGTCACCGTGGGAGAATAACCTCCAATATCATTCTGTCGACACAAATACCATGAAAACTGGATTATACGAAATTGAGTTCAGCCTAACATACATTAGCATGTGGCAAATGATGCCCATTTCAGTTAATGAAAATGCACTTTCCCTTAACCCCTATGAGTGTATATTAGTGATGTGGCAGTTTGTAACATACGTGGCCGATTCGTATTCACAGGCCTTCAGGGCGGATGACTGTCGTGATTAAGGGATATGACCTAGGATGTCCTCAAGACATCAAGTACTAAGTTAAATCGAAGCATGAACAAGATAAATATATTTTTTAAAGTGTCTCTTATCTTCTAATTTCTCCCGAAGGGAAATATCGGCAGATAACGCCACGACTGTGAGGCCTCTATTTCAACGTTTTAACTCTTTGTCGTTCTATTAAGTGCTGAGAACAGATGCCATGGCACCATCTCTGATGCTCGTTCTGCTGGCCATTGCGATAGCAAGGGCTGAGCTTAATACTGCCGATGATGTGGTTCAGTTTGTACAGTCAAACTGTGTGTCTATCGGGGCTGTGGCCCAAGAAACCTGCAATAACTGTGAACGTGCCTGTCGTCCATCTCTAGAACTTGGGGAATATTGTGAAGAATTCTGCGAAGGTGACAGAACTGACAAGTGTGATGTCCTTGGGAAGTTCCGACCTGGGGATGCTGCTCGCTACAATGACACTGCTGAAGTTCACTGCGGCTCGAACGAATTTACCGATATCTGCAGAATCCTCCGATCTCTCCGTGACGCAGCTCTGCTTTTGGAGAGTGGTATGTACCCATACAGTAGTTTCCTGCTCTTAAGACCATGAGGTGATATTGCGTAAATTAGTAACTTCGATGAATCTCAGCTTTGATCGGCTATTCAGTTAAATCACAGCTTGACAGCTTTAGGTGCTAGGAAAAGCCCTAGGTAACTGACATCAGACGTTTACAACTTTGGTGAAACTCACGGCATGGTTATGATGCTAACAAACCAAAAATCATAATCTTTGCGAGTCCGGGATTCGAACCGACATGATTCTGGCTCGGGTAGGTGCTATCCCCTTAACTCGATTATATACAGGCTGCCGTAATATAGTTGGAATATTGCTCTTTGCGGGACTAAACAAATAACGAATCTATTATCACTCACATTGATACGTTTGTGTATCATAGGTCTAAATAAGCAATCATAAAAGGTTCAAGCCCATTATCAATCCAGGTTTTTATTAACCTGTATTGGGGGCGGTCGGGTAGCCTAGTGGTTAAAGCGTTCGCTCGTCACGCCGAAGACCCGGGTTCGATTCCCGACATGGGTACAATGTGTGAAGCCTATTTCTGGTGTCCCCCGCCGTGATATTGCTGGAATATTGCTAAAAGCGGCGTAAAACCATACTCACTCACTCACTCATTAACCTGTATTGATTGAGATAGAAAATTAAACCTTAATCATTTCGACCACAGTACATGGCGGGGAAGGGTGAGCTAAATGATTTTGAGCGCTGTTTGTTTGCAACGCTTAACAGGACCAGGATCTAATGTTGGAGGATTCGAATCAAAATTTCGCCCCGATTATGATCCTTGGTGTATCATCAAATATCTTGATTTACTAAAGTGGTAAACGTTCAAAGTGTGCTGGGGTGGTCGGGTAGCCTGCTGGTTAAAGCGTTCGCTCGTCACGCTGAAGACCCGGGTTCGAATGTGTGAAGCCCATTTCTGGTGTCCCCTGCCGTAATATTGCTGGAATATTGCTAAAAGCGGCGTAAAACCATACTCACTTACTCACTCATTAACCTGTATTGATTGAGATAGAAAATTAAACCTTAATCATTTCGACCACAGTACATGGCGGGGAAGGGTGAGCTAAATGATTTTGAGCGCTGTTTGTTTGCAACGCTTAACAGGACCAGGATCTAATGTTGGAGGATTCGAATCAAAATTTCGCCCCGATTATGATCCTTGGTGTATCATCAAATATCTTGATTTACTAAAGTGGTAAACGTTCAAGGTGTGCTGGGGTGGTCGGGTAGCCTGCTGGTTAAAGCGTTCGCTCGTCACGCTGAAGACCCGGGTTCGAATGTGTGAAGCCCATTTCTGGTGTCCCCTGCCGTAACATTGCTGGAATATTGCTAAAGGCGGCGTAAAATCAAACTCACTCACTCACATAAAGTGTGCATCATTTTGAGGATACCCGCCACATTAAGGAACTGAAATTACCGATATAATATACGCGTCATTGAACCAAAATCACCCACTCAATTACAGACCATTACCACTGATTTGGATGCATGTACAGTATTGGTATTAATGTCTGTTAATGCAATTTAAATGGAAATAAAACATGTTTCTTAGTCGTCTCCAATGTAAAATTAAGTGATATCTTAATAGTGTATCTGCATACGAGATAAGGGTGATCACTTCTACGTATACTGCCACTGATCGAAAAGTTTAAGAAATAAATGAGGGAGTGGGGTGTTTATCGTACAATAAAACGCTGCAGGGAAAGTAAAACATGAGGGTGACGTCACGATAGAACGATGTTTTATCATCACCCCTCTTCCATGTTCTGGGGCGGTCAGGTAGCCTGGTGGTTAAAGCGTTCGCTCGTCACGCCATGACCCGGGTTCAATTCCCGACATGGGTACAATGTGTGAAGCCCATTTCTGGTGTCCCTCGCCGTGATATTGCTGGCGTAAAACCAAACTCACTCACTCACTCACTGTTCCATGTTCTCGCTATCTCATATTATTGAATACAACCTTGACCCTAGCCTGTCGTGAGTTCAACCCCACTTCACAGACGATACATATAAGTGATTAGTACCGTTTTACATTTTAGCAAATAACATATTTAATACAAAAAACATCTTAAACTTTAAATAACTGCAATAATCACCCCAGCAGGCGTCTTTCGACCGAGAGCACATTTTCTTACAGTTTGATTTCATAACTGGTCATTGTATTGTTGCCTTTTTCTCAGTATTTCAGAGCACTGGTATGGTTTTATGAATCTAGTGAGATAATATTTAAATACATTATCGTTTATTATTCATTAGATATCGGTACAGTTTTAGCATTATCTATAACTACCCCTTGAATGTATTATTCGCCATTAACAAAAACGCCCCATCTGTTGTTATCAAAGTGATATTTTGGAGAAAGAAAAGTTTTTCATTGTATTTTCTTTCTAAAATGCTACAGCACTTTACACCTCAAAACGCTTTTTCATTTTGTACAGTTGCACGATAATGCACGATAATAGTAGTGTTTTTGTAATTTTATATTATAACTCCATGTGTTATACATTGGTATGAGCACTTTATGAATACCATTAATATATTGAAAAATAAGATAACAATCATGCATATTTTGGGGTATATTTTTATGAGAACGGGTACTCAGTATCCACTACAAATATACCAAAGAAACTATTCATGATGCCTTACTTACCTTTTTAGTATGTACAAAATGTTATTGACTTATCCAACAAATGTACGTAAATACTGTTTAAAATATCAAGTGGAACTATGGCGTGACAGTGACGATGTTTTAATGCTGGATCTATCTTTGTTTCAGGTAATCCCTGTAAGTATACATTCTGATTCACCATTACTAACATATACATTTTCTGAATAGCAAGCTTGTGATGCTTTAGAGCACATAAGCAGTACTTCATGCAGGACAGACCCGTAGATATCATCCATTGCATCTGTGTCTAAGTGCACATACACAACCGTTCCTGCTCTTCGTCCTTACCCTCTGTATCAACCGGATGTTTGTTTGTTTGTTGTTAAACGCCACATTCAGCAGATTTACATTACAGGGATACGATGACATGTGTCAACATAGCCAGCGAGCGACTAACGGGATCGGGTGGACAGTCTCGCTGACTTGGTTGATGCATGTCATCGGTTCCCAATTGCGTGGATCGATGCTAATGATATCAGTCACTGGATTGTCTGGTCCAGACTCGATAATTTACAGAACGCCGCCATGTAGCTGGAATATTGCTGAGCGCGGCCTTAAACAACAAACAAACGAAACAAAATGTTTGTTTATGATAGGCCGGTCAACATGGCCAAGAAATATTTGGGTGATTGGGAAATGTGCTCGATTTCGTCCTGTATGGATTATATGGTTGACCTAGGGAACGCATTTCATAAGCCTAGGCGTCAAAAAGCGCTATGCACATGCGAAAGTTACAGTGAACATGCATTTCCATGCATCACGCAGGGCTATGGGTTAGACCAACCATTTCAACGACTAAACGTTTGATCCTATTTTTAACCTATTTACTTATAACACCTTGTGTTTCATGAAGATAAAATATGGTTACCCATTTGCCACAGACCATAGCATTCTGTGTCACAGATGTAGGATATATTTATAAAGTGTACAATGTCACCTATGCTGTAAACAGTAAAAAATGTTTTACCCATTAGCCACAGATCATAGCATTCTGTGTCACACATGTAGGATATATTTATAAAGCGTACAATGTCACTATTCTGTTAACAGTTTTTCAAACATGCTTAATAGCTGTTCTGAGATGTATTATTATAATGACAAGTGTTTGCATCTTATCACGTTGAACAAGTATAGTAAATAAGAATTGTTTAGAGATCCAAAGGACGTAGTTGATCGTGGACCTTGCTAGTGAGAGATTAGGCGTAAGGGAAATGATTACGAAACTCGCGCAGAGCGATATATTAACTCTGATATCTATGACGTTGTGAAATAGATCGCTTTGCTCAAGTGCGTCAAATGCTTGGTCCCGATGACAAACAAGTCAATACGTTGTGACTTAATGCCCGTTATCAAATTGCCCAAATTATAGTGTCCAACGTTATACCTAATATGATATGTATGTTCATTCTCTTCCCTGTCCTAGGTGTATCCGCTGCTGCCTCCGCTGAGGAAGGTACGTACCGTATAAGTATTTGGTGATATTTGGAAGGAGTAGCTATATGTGTTTATTTGTTAAACTATTCCATTTTGCAAAATACAGTTTTAGTGTGTGAACCAGTTATAAACATATTTGCGTCAGATAGATAGATAGATGGATGGATGGATGGATGGATGGATGGATGATGGATGGATGGATAGATAACTGTAACATGACATAAATGTATAAGGACGGAGTTTAAAAGTGAATGAATTTAATTTTACGTCACGTCGGCAATATTTCAGTCATAGTGTGACTTGAACAAGTTGTACAATATTTATACTTTCGACAAAGGACAGTACAATAACTAGTAATAGATCCCAGTTTACCTTAAAACTAGTTGTAGAACTAAACCGATTAATGGGAAAAGGTACGATATCAAAATGGGGCTATAGGTCGCCAGCAACAAAGGTAAGGTGGACGGAGTTTTAAAAAAGAATATTTGCGTTTGTTTGCAGATGACACCTCGAAGGACAAGGATGTGTGTTCAGAATTACTGGCAGACAGTAAAGACCTTGTCCTTTGCAAACCGTCAGGTATGAACAAAGACACAGGGAATGAAACTTGAAACTTGTTTAAGTAACACACGATTACATTATTCGTTTTCAATTTGGATTACTTGTCATTTTGGACGGGTACCACTGGTTGGGTAGGATCGACTCACCTGGTATCTTCATTGTCAGATGGTGTTTCATTACCACATGCTTGTGATCCTTGGTAAAAGCAGAGTCCATTGTACGAGTCCGACTCTATCATGAGCATGTATTTATGTATCAACCCGTGAAGATCCGGGGTGGAATAGGTCAGGCGACTGTGCTTGTCGTAAAAGGCGACTAACGGGATCGGGTGGTCAGGCTCGCTGATTTGGTTGATGCATGTCATCGATCCCAAATGCGTGGATCGATGCTCATGATGTCAATCACTGGATTATCTGGTCCAGACTCGATTATTTACAGACCGCCGTCATATAGCTGGAATATTGCTGAGTGTGGCGTTAAACAACAAACAAACAAACATGAATCACAAGTGGTGAAATAGATCGTCACAAAAAATGTGAGCATGTCAAGCCCCATCGGTGGAATCCGTCACATGCAACACAGTTGTTCGCCTGAAAATAGAGGCGATGGGGAAGACTGGTGGTTTGGGCGTTCGCTCGTCACACCGAAGGCCCGGGTTCGATTCCATATGGAAACATTTTGTGAAGCTCATTTCTGATGTCCCCCACCGTCACATTGCTGGAATATTGCTTATAGTGGCGTACATCATACTCACTCACCTGAAAAAAACACACGGGAACCTAGGCACATCAGTTTGAAGTAAAGAGTCCTGCAACCTTGACAGGATCTTCTCATAGTTGGTTCTAATCCCATGGTGGTCCTGGTTATGATCCGTGGTGCATACTTTCGTATTTAGTGCAAGCAGTAAACGCCGATGACCTCCGTCACTTTCGGCTTTCCTACCCGTGAAGATCCGGGGTTTTCAGCAACCCATGCTTGACGTAAAAAGCGACTATGCTTGTCGTAAGAGGCGACTAACTGGATCGGGTGGCAAGGCTCGCTGACATGGTTGAAGCATGTCATTGATCCCAATTGGGTGGATCGATGCTCATGACACAATCACTGGATTGTCTGGTCCCGACTCGATTATTTAAAAGACCGCCGTCATATAGCTGGAATATTGCTGAGCGCGGCGTTAAACAACAAACAAAACACTTTCGGCTTTCTACTTATATTGAACATGCAGTGATATATGTACATGTAACTAAAATACTGTTCACAACAGCATTTAAACCTAGCCTGCACGTAAGTCCTACATCACTCTCGTCCCACATGAAGCTGACACGCCGTAATATACCATGAAAACTGTTTATAGGGGCGTTAAACAAAACCACTCCCCCACAATCTTCTGTTATATCCACATGTATGATTCATATTCAGACATAACAAATGAGAAGGAAGAAGCTCCCCGTGGTGCAGCGGCAGCCGATGGTATGTCATCTTGTGTCACGCTTTGTCAAAACAACCTAAAACTTGATATGCAAATCCAAACCATGTTGCATAAATCTAACTTGACATGTCATTCCATACTCTCAAGATCCGTGAAGATCCGGGATAGAATAGGTCTTCAGCAACCCATGCTTGTCGTAAAAGGCGACTATGCTTGTCGTAAAAGGCGACTAACGGGATCGGGTGTTCAGGCTCGCTGACTTGGTTGGTGTATGTCATCGATCCCAATTGCGTGGATCGATGCTCGTGATATTAATCACTGGATTGTCTGGTCCAGACTCGATTATTTATAGACCGCCGTCATAAAGCTGGGATATTGCTGAGCGCGGCGTTAAACAACAAACCAACCAACCATACTCTCAAAGGAGCTGAAATCCAACCTATATCAAATGCATATATATTCACTGTTGTAAGTAAACATACCGTAAGTTATATGCAAATGATGTCATTGATATTTTGCATCTAATTGGATTCTATCGACCCTCAAAATATGAAAAGTGAAGCAAACTTTGAAAAGCACAGATTGTTTTCCTCGCCGTGCTAACCAATGTGTTCGTGACAAAATGAATACGTCATGAATACACCCGACTAGCTTTACTATTAATGAACACGTGGCACGACAGTGAGATAACGTTTTCCCACCAATCACAAACAAATGTGTTAACTAGGAAAAGGGCTGGCTTTGCAGAGTGTTAGTGTCTCCAAATCCAGATATATCCAGTGTGTGGCTAAATACTTTCACCTACTTCGATCACTTTTGTTCCAGGTCACGTGCCGCTTTCACGTGACGACCACAAAGGACCAGGTATGCAGCTACTATTACTAGTAATAATAATAATAATAATAGAAATCTCTTTGTATTGCGCTTATTGCATGCCGAATATGCCCAAAGCGCTCTATTATTAAGCCGATGAATAAAATTCTCAGCTCCCTGAGTGTACAACCCAAATTGCCTATGAGGCGTTGGAAGGTTAACAGTCGCATAACTATCTCATCCTACACTGCGATCTTGATCTATAACCATCAGCAATATTGTGGCTATCAGGGTTATTTTAACATCTAGTACTATCCACCATATCAGCTTGTATTTGGACGGCAAAAAAAGTCAAGGAATATTCATCTATGAAAGAGACAGGGTCAACATTATCGAGTAGTCGTAAAAAAAACTTTTGTTTCGTTTATGTTTTTTTCTTAGAACTGTTCCATTGTTATGAATTAGTGGGGCTCTGTTTTTGCCCTGTATGTATCATTTGCAATGAAGGCTTTGATAGGCATTTTAAAGTTGGAAGAACATGAATACATGACACTTTTTTAAATATGACAACTCCTAATAGTATTTGTAATGTCGTTTGAGTGTTACTTCTTGCTCCTTCATCAGGACGTGGTAGATGTTTATGATGTGTTATTTCTTTTTGTCTTGTTAGCAAATAAAATATCACAATTTAGGTGTTGATGGGTGCTCTGACAGGCATGATATGACTGTGTCGTGCATGTGCTTCAGGTGGACTCCTGCGCCCACGACGAGAGGCTACAAGAGACACCACCGTAAAAGTGCAAGGTTCGATCAATTACTAGTGTCCTTCCATGTAATTTTTTTTTTAGTAAACAAAAATGTCATAAACAAATGTCAAAGGTGACAAAATAACAAATGTCTTCTCCTTCTACTATACTGATCGATCACCAAGTCAATCTACAGATTGACAGCGTATAAAGAATAACGCAGAATGATAAACTGTCATTGTAAACGAGGACGTTGACATTCTCACAATATTAACAACCGGTTTGTCTGACAAAAATGCGATTATTAATAGGCCACCGTGATATATCTGAAATATTGATGACTGTGGTGTAGGGCAACAAAGCAAAGCATCTCCTACTGACAAGTTTTGAGAATACAATATTTCTGACATGTCAAACCCCAAAGTTTATCTTTACAGCTCCCGCCGGCGCCTTCCCTAACACAGGTTTGTACCAAAGAATACGTAGATCCACATAGTACTAGAGGATGCCCAATTTTCTTATTTAAGTTAATCTTTAATTAACAATCTTTAAAAGGGAACGTATTCACAACTACTTGTAAAATGAAATATATCTTCAGTTTTGATATACATACGGCGGAAAGCCAAAAGGAAATAACTTGAACCCAATATATATTCAGTTATGTTGCCACGTTTAACCAACATATGGGACATGTTTGCTATGTTCGCACTTTGTTTTCTGGCGTTTATACGAACATAGCATCCTCTGCAACCATGATAAATCTTAGGGCGAAGATCAGAGTATGAACTTTCAGTTTGCAAACTACAATTTTTCAATTTATCATATTCGAAATAGTATTGAAAATGTTTTGTAATCTAATCAGTTATATATAAATAAACAGCACGCACGCCTAGAACATTCTTAAACAAATTCTAGACATGAGGGACGCTTCATAAAGATAAACATATATATATATATATGTATGTATGGCTTTTCTTTTAACTTTTTCTTTATTGAAACCAGGTCTAAAACCATGTTTCCGAGAGAACGAGATTAGGGATCACATTATTAAAAAGGAATGAATATATGCGTCAACTTCCTTATTATATCCTTAAAACACATCTTCGAACCATCCCGCTATGCTACATAAGTGTCATTTTACATGATGATGGAAAATGAAAAGTGCCAACAACATATTGAAATGTGTTCTAAGTATATATTCAAATGCAGATACAATTCTACAACATGTGTCTCTTGAACATACCTAACCAAACGATGAAACTTATCGCGTGGTCAGTACTTAGCAAAGAAGGAATAGTGTTTTACTCGTTCGCCAAAGCTTCATCTCTGAGACGAAAGCAATATGAAAGGGCTTGGAAGTGACTGATGCACAAGGATGTTACGTTGCGGAGTTTTGTAATACACGGGTTGTATTTACATTAAACATCCATGTAAGTATTCACACCCGGCTCCTTCATCTCTGTATATATACATATATGACCTGCGTGTGTATGAATGCGTGTGTACCAGTGTTACCATAACAATACCACTCTGCGTGAATACTAACGCTTTAGTGTTCATATTGATATTAAAACGAAGCAGATCAGGAACTCTAACTTGAAATATGACCTCCTCTATACACATTATCAAGTGGGAACGTCCTATATTTGTTAGTTTAAAAGAGACTCAGCATTATTGATTCTATTCATTCAACTGCCATTCCTTTGGTTTACCCGCCGTGGGGGGCACGGATGGCCCAGTCATCTAAGGCGCCGCGATTCGCTGTGCAGAGTTGCGTCCCTTGGGCACGCCAGAAACCTATGATTGTGGGCTCGAATCCCGGTTCGCCCCGATTATGTTTCTAGGTCTGTCAGCACCATACCCGTGCTCCTGGGTTTCACCGAAGTGGTAAACGTCTGAGACCTGCATCACTTCGGGCTTTCCTCCCACCCACATTAAGCTGACACGCCGTGATAAACTTGGAATACTGTTAAAAGCGGCGTTCAACCCAACTCACTCACTCACTCAATTACCCGCCGTGATATTGCTGGAATATTGCTTAAAGCGGCGTAAAACCATACTCAGTCACTCCTTTGGTCTACTTACTTAAGCTGCGATGTTCTGTAAACTGCTTGATGGCGGCTTAAATGAAACAAACAGGAAATGGTTATTCGATGGTGATATAATTGCTACGGGTATCATACTTGGGGTTGGGACCTTGCGTTAAGCTGTTTTAAGCCCAGTAATATTTTGAAAACGTTTGGAATTTTTCGGTCAAATCCAATTTTCAACTTTCTGTTGCCCGGCTGTTTATATCAACCAAGAGTGAGTGAGTGAGTTGGGTTTAACGCCGCTTTTAACAGTATTCCAGTTATATCGCGGCGTGTCAGCTTAATGTGGGAGGAAAGCCCAAAGTGATGCAGGTCTCAGACGTTTACCACTTCGGTGAAACCCACGAGCACGGGTATAGTGCTGACAAACCTAGAAACATAATCGGGGCGAACCGGGATTCGAACCCACAATCATAGGTTTCTGGCGTGCCCAAGGGACGCAACTCTGCACAGCGAATCGCGGCGCCTTAGACGACTGGGCCACCCGTGCCCCCATATCAACCAAGAAGTTAATATTGCCTAAATACACACATTACTCAGTCTGTTTCACACAGATATGGTCGGGCGAATGTTGGAATTTTTCAGAAAACAAACTTCTTTCTTCTTTTTTAAATGTAACAGACAATAAAAAGGACAGAGTAGCTATGTTCCTTTTGCCGACGCGCTAAGCAGTGCTTGTGTTAATAATGTTCAGTTTTATTGAGTCATAATATTTTGCAATGAAGCATTTTATGACACGCTTAAACCCATTAGATATCAGTGGTTCAATTGTCGCCAGCCTGATAGAGTAGCGGACAAACATAATTGAATAGCAAATGTTCCGCTTGCGCCTCTGATATCAACTGTAAAAGTATCGTCAACGGTAGTCAAATTCGCTATGTTTTCGTAACCGTGCAAGAAAACGAAACTATTTTGAGATCATTATTTTTGCAATATTTCAATGTAATTTCGAATGAATTGTTACCTCAAATGTGATCGCAACATTTCATAATAACCTTTCAAATGCCTAAAATGTAGAAAAGGTGATATCATATTCATATATCCGATATCAATGAAATTACAAATCAGTGAATAACAATCATTTCACATTACCTGTATGAATACACGATGCCATTTAGAAAGTGGTCAAATGTAACAAATATTATATTTGGGATAACACTTTCTTAGTATTGGCATGGGAGCCGTGCCAATTTACACTTGTCAGAGGGGTACTCAAAGTACGTGATCTAGACTACCAGTTGTCGGACTTTCATTTTGTGGAAGCCTCGGTGGCTGAGTGGGTTAGATCGCTGACTTTGAGTGCTGGCGATTAGGTGCCACACTCTGGCAAGTATGGGTTCGAATCCCGGACGGGACTCAACCCAAAAAAGTACGAGAATCTGTACTTTACTAAGAAAGTGTTATCCCAAATATAACATTTGTTACATTACCAGTAGCTTGTTATTGTAAATGTCTTCTTTCATCAGCTCAATGCGCTTGTGTTGCACCACATGCTGTGTCAAAGCGTCATTAAACTGACTTGCTTTGTGTGTTACGCGTTTTGAGTTTCAGTAAAACGCGAAGAGTGTTGTGGTGAATTGTCTTGTAAACCTTTGTTTAGATCGGAGCTGCGATGGACAGTGCAAAGAAAGCTGTGCTGGGGATGAAACGTCGACTTGGCACAATTGTGAATCGGGAAAGTCCTGCTGTTTTCCACGTGAGTATCTCATAGCCAGTATGTTTTTTAGCAGTGTCTATCTGTGGTTTCCTGTTTTGTCGTCCTGCACCTTTAGAAGATAGACCGGCTCTGTTGTCTATTGGGTAGAGCGTCATACGTCAAAGAGGTTAAATGTTTTTACCTTGCCTGACCTTCGGCATTAAAGCAGACAAACAACGACTGTTTGCCTCGGTGTCAGTATAATTTGTCTCGAGTGGGCTATCTATTTTAAACTGCGGCATGGAATCTCAGTGAGCTAGCACTATAAAAACGCCATGGGTTCAGACTAGTTCAAACATACACACTCTCACACAAATGCCCATGCGCGTCGCTATGTGAGTGCAGTAATCTTGAACGTGACGTTAAACCCCCAAAAGACCCAAGGAAAATAAACCCAACAAAATATCGGTATCCAAGGGCAAAAACCAAACACGTCGGAAATAAACATTCTAGGAACAGTTTGAACACTGCGCAGTAACTAACTCTGTGGTTCTATTTCAGTCGAGGGACATGAAGAACTATTTGGTACGTATATAAGGATAGTGTACCTTTCACGTATATCATATAATCAATGACAAAAGATACTGCTGAACATTTTAAGAAAACCATTATAGTACTGTACATAAATATATATTTTGGTGACATTACTCGCAAGTTCCTGGTCTCCTGAATTCTTTGGGGAAACAATGGTCATATATATTGCGCTGGGGTTATCAATTTCCATTTCTTTGCTTATTGACCTCCGCGGTTTTCAATGTTTTCCCATATGTTAAACATTTGAATTTTTCCGTAAAATGTTCAATATTTGTCTACTCTGACATTGTGACTGCATTTCGTAACATTATAACAATGTGATGCAGCTTCCCTCTTAACGAGAGCGATTGCTCTAGCGGACTGGCCATTTTTTGACATTGTTGTGCTTAAAAACATCACCTTGAAAGGGTATGTGTAGGTAATTGCCTTTTTGACTGTAGGTACAATCTGTTTGACTCCAACATTGAATTGCAAAATAACTCAAAATCGGGAATAATCTATTACATGTCAATGGGGAACACGGCAATGAATACCATGTACCCAATAATATCTGCTGTTTGTTATGTTCATTCCCATCAGTGGAAAAGGTTGCTTAAGAAACTATCATGTTGTTATGTGTCCAACATTTTTTCACCTTGTTAGGAGACGCGCCAAGAGCTTTAGATGCTCGTTTCAAGTATTTATTGGTTTTCCTCTTTCTGCTTCAAATTGAATAACATCATACACCTTAACATCATCTGTTCCACATCAGTCAACAACTACGTGTACCATGTAGCACGTGCAATATGTGTTTGCGCTGTTCCTCCTACTGCTGTGACCTCCTCCGTTCAAGATGTCAATTTGTACACACGACAACATGATGGTTTCTTATAAACCTCCGGTGACGTCATCCTATTGTTCTCCAGTCGGATTAAATCTCATAAACAGGGACGTTGTAATGTCCCTGGGATTTTATATAATATTCCCGGGGTTTTTATAGGATATTCAAGTCATATTTGCTATATAATGTGTTATAATATCCCAGGGATTTTATATAATGTCCTGGGTATTTTATTAATATAACTTCCGTTCAGATTGTAAAATGTAATGAAATGTAAAATCAAATGACAAATGTTTTCTTTATATTCCCGAGGATCGAACTCGCAACCTTCATATCTGTAGCCCAGTGAGTGTATCACAAGGCTACAGAGGTGTAGAGCCTCACTGCATTTTACAATGTCCTTTTCAAGATCCGTACGCCAGCAACAGATATTTTACGCCCGTTTCCTAAGGTTCATGGAAAGTGTTCGAAACATAAAAATGGTGATAAATGTTGCTTAAAGGTTCAAAATCGGTTTATAAGTAAGATAAAACACTTTCCCTCGGGTTGTTATGATATTTAAAACGCTTTCCCTCGGAAAATGCCTTGGGATGCGGGTTTTAAATATCATAACAACCCTCAGACGTGTTTTATCCTATACTTAAACAACTTTTTGGCCACTAGTGTAATAAAATAACAGCAAATATTGATGGGTATAGGGTAATCCTTGCAGTATTGGCAATAGAAGCTATTCCCGATTTTGAGTTGTTTTGCATTCAAGAAGCATGAGACTCCTCGGTGTGTTGTAATGTGCAATATTATTGTATAGATGGGTATTTAACCACATCTCACTCACTCTTTTTAGAATCGACCGACAATGACACATCCGATGCAGTGGGAGATCGCTCTTTGTCCATAGCGATGCTAAGCGTTTTTAATACAAGTGGGTTTATAAAAAAATATTCTCGACGTGTAGACACGGTTAACCAACTTTTTTTTGTCTCTAGTCACAATTCAAGCTTCGTGCCTTTTATTAACTGCAGTTTTTGTTTTGTTGTGACAATTCTGAGATGCCAGAATGCAGAATGGGCTGACGTTATAACGCTGCTTCTCGTGATTTAACTATTGTCCTACCTATGAAGATGACGCATCCCACATCGGTGAAAAATATTTTCTTTAACGAGGGACCATTGAATCTAAGTCCCTGGGAATATCCATGACAAACATATCCCATTCCGCGGGGTTTTCCCAAACATACACAGCCACAAAGATGGTGTCCCATGAGTAATGTCTGTCTCAAGCCACAGGAGTGGGCAATCCTTGAGAAGTTCATTGCCACATGTACATCTGTTCCTCAGCGTAAGACATTGAGCAACATACAGTAGTCTATATTAGCCCCACAATATACTTGTTGAACATTTCGAGTCGCTGAACTAAACAGAACCAGATGAATTTAGAAACATAAAATATAATCCTACCTATCGCTGCATGGAATTTGGGATAATCACACACTGAACAGTAAGTACAATGCGCCTTATTTAACCATAAATAACCTATATTAGGGGGGAGTGTTTTTATGTTTAAAACACAGAATGTCTCTTGTCGTAAGGGTGCCGAGAACTAGGTGGAAATCCTATCCGTGGTCAATTTCTTTACAATGCACGGAATAACATAAAACGTACGGCATAAAACCCACATTTCACTGTTCATAAACGGATAAACTCATAGTAAGTATATATTTAGCTGTCAACTTTATAATTTGCCGTGGCAAATGAGTACTTTCGTCAGACTTCCTCTTTGGACTTGGCGCGTTCACATCCCGCTGTTTCGTGAAAATTGTTCTATGATCAAGTTCCGTCCTGTTTTTCTCTGGCATACTAATTTACCCCCACCCCCTCATCTTTGAGTGTGGGTACGGGGCATCCAAGGCGCCGCCATTCGCTGTGCAGAGTTGCGTCCTTTTGGCATGCCTGAAACCTATGATTATGGGCTCGAATCCCGGTTCGCCCCGATTATGTTTCTAGGTTTGTCAGCACTATACCCGTGATCGATGGTTTCACCGAAGTGGTAAACGTCTGAGACCTGCATCACTTCGGGGTTTCCTCCAAAATTAAGCTGACACGCCGCGATATAACTGGAATACTGTTAAAGGCGGCGTTAAACCCAACTCACTCACTGACTCATCATTGAGTATTCGCAATAGAGTTAATACACCACGTTACAAAGCAATACATACATACCCAACTCACTCACTCACTCAATTACCCGCCGTGATATTGCTGGAATATTGCTAAAAGCGGCGTAAAACCATACTCACTCACACCTTTGGTCTACTTACTTAAGCTGCGATGTTCTGTAAACTGCTTGATGGCTGCTTAAATGAAACAAACAGGAAATGGTTATTCGATGGTGATATAATTGCTACGGGTATCATACTTAGGGTTGGGACCTTGCGTTAAGCTGTTTTAAGCCCAGTAATATTTTGAAAACGTTTGGAATTTTTCGGTCAAATCCAATTTTCAAGAGTATACTTTGTGTTGCCTCAACCAAGAGTGAGTGAGTTGGGTTTAACGCCGCTTTTAACAGTATTCCAGTTATATCGCGGCGTGTCAGCTTAATGTGGCAGGAAAGCCCGAAGTGATGCAGGTCTCAGACGTTTACCACTTCGGTGAAACCCACGAGCATGGGTACGGTGCTGACAAACCTAGAAACATAATCGGGGCGAACCGGGATTCGAACCCACAATCATAGGTTTCTGGCGTGCCCAAGGGACGCAACTCTGCACAGCGAATCGCGGCGCCTTAGACGACTGGGCCACCCGTGCCCCCATATCAACCAAGAAGTTAATATTGCCTAAATACACACATTACTCAGTCTGTTTCACATAGATATGGTCGGGCGAATGTTTCGAATTTTTCAGAAAACAAACTTCTTTCTTCTTTTTTAAATGTAACAGACAATAAAATGGACAGAGTAGCTATGTTCTTTTTGCCGACGCGCTAAGCAGTGCTTGTGTTAATAATGTTCAGTTTTATTGAGTCATAATATTTTGCAATGAAGCATTTTATGACACGCTTAAACCCATTAGATATCAGTGGATTAATTGTCGCCAGCCTGATAGAGTAGCGGACAAACATAATTGAATAGCAAATGTTCCGCTTGCGCCTCTGATATCAACTGTAAAAGTATCGTCAACGGTAGTCAAATTCGCTATGTTTTCGTAACCGTGCAAGAACTATTTCAACTATTTTGAGATCATTATTTTTGCAATATTTCAATGTAATTTCGAATGAATTGTTACCTCAAATGTGATCGCAACATTTCATAATAACCTTTCAAATGCCTAAAATGTAGAAAAGGTGACATCATATTCATATATCCGATATCAATGAAATTACAAATCAGTGAATAACAATCATTTCACATTACCTGTATGAATACACAATGCCATTTAGAAAGTGGTCAAATTTAACAAATATTATATTTGGGATAACACTTTCTTAGTATTGGCATGGGAACCGTGCCAATTTACACTTGTCAGAGGGGTACTCAAAGTACGTGATCTAGACTACCAGTTGTCGGACTCTCATTTTGTGGAAGCCTCGGTGGCTGAGTGGGTTAGATCGCTGACTTTGAGTGCTGGCGATTAGGTGGCAAGTGTGGGTTCGAATCCCGGACGGGACTCAACCAAAAAAAGTACGAGAATCTGTACATTACTAAGAAAGTGTTATCCCAAATATAACATTTGTTACATTACCAGTAGCTTGTTATTGTAAATGTCTTCTTTCATCAGCTCAATGCGCTTGTGTTGCACCACATGCCCCGTCAAAGCGTCATTAAACTGACTTGCTATGTGTGTTACGCGTTTTGAGTTTCAGTAAAACGCTAAGAGTGTTGTTGTGAATTGTCTTGTAAACCTTTGTTTAGATCGGAGCTGCGATGGACAGTGCAAAAAAAGCTGTGCTGAGGATGAAACGTCGACTTGGCACATTTGTGAATCGGGAGAGTCCTGCTGTTTTCCATGTGAGTATCTCATAGCCATTATGTTTTTTAGCAGTGTCTATCTGTGGTTTCCTGTCTTGTCGTCCGGCACCTTTAGAAGATAGACCGGCTCTGTTGTGTATTGGATAGAGCGTCATACGTCAAAGAGGTTAAATGTTTTTACCTTGCCTGACCTTCGGCATTAAAGCAGACAAACAACGACTGTTTGCCTCGGTGTCAGTATAATTTGTCTCGAGTGGGCTATCTATTTTAAACTGCGGCATGGAATCTCAGTGAGCTAGCACTATAAAAACGCCATGGGTTCAGACTAGTTCAAACATACACACTCTCACACAAATGCCCATGCGCGTCGCTATGTGAGTGCAGTAATCTTGAACGTGACGTTAAACCCCCAAAAGACCCAAGGAAAATAAACCCAACAAAATATCGGTATCCAAGGGCAAAAACCAAACACGTCGGAAATAAACATTCTAGGAACAGTTTGAACACTGCGCAGTAACTAACTCTGTGGTTCTATTTCAGTCGAGGGACATGAAGAACTATTTGGTACGTATATAAGGATAGTGTACCTTTCACGTATATCATATAATCAATGACAAAAGATACTGCTGAACATTTTAAGAAAACCATTATAGTACTGTACATAAATATATATTTTGGTGACATTACTCGCAAGTTCCTGGTCTCCTGAATTCTTTGGGGAAACAATGGTCATATATATTGCGCTGGGGTTATCAATTTCCATTTCTTTGCTTATTGACCTCCGCGGTTTTCAATGTTTTCCCATATGTTAAACATTTGAATTTTTCCGTAAAATGTTCAATATTTGTCTACTCTGACATTGTGACTGCATTTCGTAACATTATAACAATGTGATGCAGCTTCCCTCTTAACGAGAGCGATTGCTCTAGCGGACTGGCCATTTTTTGACATTGTTGTGCTTAAAAACATCACCTTGAAAGGGTATGTGTAGGTAATTGCCTTTTTGACTGTAGGTACAATCTGTTTGACTCCAACATTGAATTGCAAAATAACTCAAAATCGGGAATAATCTATTACATGTCAATGGGGAACACGGCAATGAATACCATGTACCCAATAATATCTGCTGTTTGTTATGTTCATTCCCATCAGTGGAAAAGGTTGCTTAAGAAACTATCATGTTGTTATGTGTCCAACATTTTTTCACCTTGTTAGGAGACGCGCCAAGAGCTTTAGATGCTCGTTTCAAGTATTTATTGGTTTTCCTCTTTCTGCTTCAAATTGAATAACATCATACACCTTAACATCATCTGTTCCACATCAGTCAACAACTACGTGTACCATGTAGCACGTGCAATATGTGTTTGCGCTGTTCCTCCTACTGCTGTGACCTCCTCCGTTCAAGATGTCAATTTGTACACACGACAACATGATGGTTTCTTATAAACCTCCTGTGACGTCATCCTATTGTTCTCCAGTCGGGTTAAATCTCATAAACAGGGACGTTGTAATGTCCCTGGGATTTTATATAATATTCCCGGGGTTTTTATAGGATATTCAAGTCATATTTGCTATATAATGTGTTATAATATCCCAGGGATTTTATATAATATCCTGGGTATTTTATTAATATAACTTCCGTTCAGATTGTAAAATGTAATGAAATGTAAAATCAAATGACAAATGTTTTCTTTATATTCCCGAGGATCGAACTCGCAACCTTCATATCTGTAGCCCAGTGAGTGTACCACAAGGCTACAGAGGTGTAGAGCCTCACTGCATTTTACAATGTCCTTTTCAAGATCCGTACGCCAGCAACAGATATTTTACGCCCGTTTCCTAAGGTTCATGGAAAGTGTTCGAAACATAAAAATGGTGATAAATGTTGCTTAAAGGTTCAAAATCGGTTTATAAGTAAGATAAAACACTTTCCCTCGGGTTGTTATGATATTTAAAACGCTTTCCCTCGGAAAATGCCTTGGGATGCGGGTTTTAAATATCATAACAACCCTCAGACGTGTTTTATCCTATACTTAAACAACTTTTTGGCCACTAGTGTAATAAAATAACAGCAAATATTGATGGGTATAGGGTAATCCTTGCAGTATTGGCAATAGAAGCTATTCCCGATTTTGAGTTGTTTTGCATTCAAGAAGCATGAGACTCCTCGGTGTGTTGTAATGTGCAATATTATTGTATAGATGGGTATTTAACCACATCTCACTCACTCTTTTGAGAATCGACCGACAATGACACATCCGATGCAGTGGGAGATCGCCCTTTGTCCATAGAGATGCAAAGCGTTTTTAATACAAGTGGGTTTATAAAAAAATATTCTCGACGTGTAGACACGGTTAACCAACTTTTTTTTGTCTCTAGTCACAATTCAAGCTTCGTGCCTTTTATTAACTGCAGTTTTTGTTTTGTTGTGACAATTCTGAGATGCCAGAATGCAGAATGGGCTGACGTTATAACGCTGCTTCTCGTGATTTAACTATTGTCCTACCTATGAAGATGACGCATCCCACATCGGTGAAAAATATTTTCTTTAACGAGGGACCATTGAATCTAAGTCCCTGGGAATATCCATGACAAACATATCCCATTCCGCGGGGTTTTCCCAAACATACACAGCCACAAAGATGGTGTCCCATGAGTAATGTCTGTCTCAAGCCACAGGAGTGGGCAATCCTTGAGAAGTTCATTGCCACATGTACATCTGTTCCTCAGCGTAAGACATTGAGCAACATACAGTAGTCTATATTAGCCCCACAATATACTTGTTGAACATTTCGAGTCGCTGAACTAAACAGAACCAGATGAATTTAGAAACATAAAATATAATCCTACCTATCGCTGCATGGAATTTGGGATAATCACACACTGAACAGTAAGTACAATGCGCCTTATTTAACCATAAATAACCTATATTAGGGGGGAGTGTTTTTATGTTTAAAACACAGAATGTCTCTTGTCGTAAGGGTGCCGAGAACTAGGTGGAAATCCTATCCGTGGTCAATTTCTTTACAATGCACGGAATAACATAAAACGTACGGCATAAAACCCACATTTCACTGTTCATAAACGGATAAACTCATAGTAAGTATATATTTAGCTGTCAACTTTATAATTTGCCGTGGCAAATGAGTACTTTCGTCAGACTTCCTCTTTGGACTTGGCGCGTTCACATCCCGCTGTTTCGTGAAAATTGTTCTATGATCAAGTTCCGTCCTGTTTTTCTCTGGCATACTAATTTACCCCCACCCCCTCATCTTTGAGTGTGGGTACGGGGCATCCAAGGCGCCGCCATTCGCTGTGCAGAGTTGCGTCCTTTTGGCATGCCTGAAACCTATGATTATGGGCTCGAATCCCGGTTCGCCCCGATTATGTTATAGGTTTGTCAGCACTATACCCGTGATCGATGGTTTCATGCACGTCGCTATATAAGTGCAATAATCTTGGACGCGACGTTAAACCCAATTTCACCTCACCTTTGCTTGTCGTAAGAAGCGACCAACGAGATCGGGTGGTCAGGCTCGCTGACTTGGTCGATGCATGTCATCGTATCCCAGTTGCGTGGATCGATGCTCATGATGTCAATCACTTGATTGTCTGGTCAAGACTCGATTATTTACTGAAAGCCGTCATATAGCTGGAATATTGCTGAGTGCGGCATAAACAACAACAAACAATGAAATGAATAAATAAGTTATGATGACGTTGATAGATGCCGGCTGCTAAAATGCCGTATAGCTGATACGTGTCAAATTCAATGGAATTTGTAGCTTAAGCGTTCGCTCGTCATCCCGGCGACCCGGGCCCAATTCCCCACATGGGTACGATGTATGAAGTCCAATTCTGGTGGTGATATTGCTAAAAGTGGCGCTCACTCACTCACTCAAATAAGCACCGGGATCCTATTGATTGAAACCTCTAACACAAATCATACTATCAAATGATTTGCAACCATATTCGTCTTCACGCGAGCACAGGGAAACCTATACTCATTGGGAACATTCGGCAAAAGCAATTTTAAGTAAGAAGGCAACGCCTCGAATTCTGCACAAATACGGAGGATTACAAAATAACACTAAAATTTTCAAATGTGGCTAAGGTGGATTTGGGTATCATCGTTGGTAGGAGTGAGTGAGTTTGGTTTTACGCCGCTCTTGGCAATTCCAGCAATATCACGACGGGGGACACAAGAAATGGGCTACACACATCATACCCATGTCGGGAATCGCACCCGGGTCCTCGGCGTGACGAGTGAACGCTTTAACCACTAGGCTACCCGACCGTCCTCGTCACCACGGGCGGCCCAGTCTTCAAAGGCGCCAGAAGCCTATAATAGTTGAATCCCGATTCGCGACAACTATGTTTTAAGGTTTGTCAGCACCATATCCGTGCTCGTGGGTCACCTAAGTGGTATAGCTGTCAGACCTGCATCACTTCCGGCGTTTCTCCCACATTAAGTTGACACTTCATGAAATAACCGACTGTTCAAAGCAGCGTAAATCCAACTCCCCTACTCACTTTCTTTAATGGTCCCGAGGGCATAACAGTGTTGCCTTCCTGCCCTTTCTCCAGTCACTGCTTTTGTCTAATCAATGCATATTGTTCTATTTTCTTTTGGTCAAGTTTGACGTGTTTCTTGCAGAACGTTCATCTTTTGGAGATGCAGAGAGAACGAATCCCGTTGCTTGAGGGTGAGTAAGTAAAAGTTGTTTCATACCATCCCCAGGTGTGTTCTTACCATATTGGTTAAGCGTGTAAACAGTGAGTGTGGAACAGTAACTGAAAACACCAGCAACGATCCACACCACTGGGGCACAATGACTCGAAATCAGCTCAATTTCCAAACCTGACGTTAGTTGCCTCTAACGACAAGCATCTTGAGAGATTCATTATCGTGTCGAGTGAGTGAGTGAGTGAGCAAGCAGAGTTTTAGGTTTACAATACACTACTTAGGGTCAGATAAATAGCTTCAGCCGGTATCCCGTCCTACAATTAATTTAAGAGCGTTCGCGAATTTCAGAATTGTATAAGTGTTAAATGTTTTAATACAGTACTGTCTGTGGTGTTAAAACTGGTTTGGTTTGTTTGTTGTTTAACGCCGCACTCAGCAATATTCCAGCTTTATGACGGCGGTCTGTAAATAATCGAGTCTGGACCAGACAATCCAGTGATTAACATCATGCGCATCGATCCACGCAATTGGGATTGATGCATGCATCAACCAAGTCAGCGAGCCTGACCACCCGATCCCGTTAGTCGCCTTTTACGACAAGCATAGTCACCTTTAACGGCAAGTATGGGTTGCTGAAGACCTATTCTACCCCGGAGTCTTCACGGGTGGTGTTAAAACTGGAAAATGTTGAAAGTTGCAGGACTTTGGGGTTTTCAGTAACCATGCCGCACTTGGTTTAAAATGGCCTCGAATCGCCCTTTTCTCAGCCTTCCAGAAACTTCTCGAGTGAGTGAGTGAGATTTTACGCCGCTTTTAGCAATATTCCAGCAATATCATACTGGGGACACCCCAGAAATGGGCTTCACACATTGTACCAATGTCGGGAATAAAACACGGGTCTTCGACGTGACGAGCGACCGCTTTAACCACTAGGCTACCCGACCGCCCCAGAAACTTCTCGAACGATGAATCCTTTAATGTTCATGTTTACACAGAGGCACTCGCCGCTGACAGTCCCCGACGTTTTACAAGTGTGTTAATCAATCGGTGCCACTGATAATTTACTTCGTCACTTGAATTACACCATTCTCTACTGCCACATAACAATCGGTTGGTTGGTTGGTTTGTTGTTTAAAGCCGCGCTCAGCAATATTCCAGCATCCAGAGTCTGGACCAGACAATCCAGTAATTGATATGAGCATCGATCTACGCAATTGGGATCGATGACATGCATCGACCAAGTCAGCGAGCCAGACCACCCGATCCCGTTAGTCGGCTCTTACGGCAAGCATACTCGCCTCTTACGGCAAGCACGGGTTGCTGAAGACCTATTCTAACCCGGATTTTCACGGGTAGCCACATAACAATAACAAGATCATCAAAGCAAACTTTATATGCATGCTGAATTAAAAACGTCAATGCAATGTGTTTGTCATGAAATACCGCGTGAAAAACATTTACAGATGCGCGATGTATGACAGTGGAAAAGATATATGTGCGTTTACATCTCCTTTGTGTAAAAAAACACCAGTAGTTGCATCGAAACTATATTCAAATCATTGGATGTTATATAATTGTCTCTATGCGTTTTGAGAGTCAACTACCAAAAGACGTCAAAATATGGTATTTATTGTTACCCTGCCTGTCGCTCGGTATTATGGGGCAAAAACAAAGTCTTGTCGGCTCGGAGTCAATATTATGTGTCTGCGTTGGGTATTCGTGCTACACTGTGGCATGTTATCGCATTTGTCTGCACTAGTACATGCAGACACACACACAAACGCTATGTTAGGGTAAATCCCACAACCAGCTTTTAATGAATATATCATTTGTTCTAGTCGCTATATGGCTGAAATATGCCGATGCGACATTACATAAAAGATAATTATTAACATTCATTCCATTGGAACTTCAATATCATCTGTAGAGTATATGAGTATATAGGAAAAGAGTTTTGTGTCTTGTTTGACGGAACGCGTGTAAAAATCAGTTGCAATGAGAATCCAATCCTATGATACAATGGACCCGTGAAAATCCGGGTTAGGATAGGTCTTCAGCATGCTTCTCGAAAGAGGCGACTGACGAGATCCGATTGGTCAGCCTCGCTGACTTGCTCGATGCATGTCATCGTATCCCAATTGCGTATATCATTCACTGGATTGTCTGGTCCAGACTCGATTATTTACAGACCGCCGTAATATAGCTTGAATATTGCTGAGTGCGGCGTTAAACAACAAACAAACAAACAACCAAAGTGAGTGAGAATGAGATTAGACGAAGGAGAGGAAGCCAGACTTCGGTGAGCTGATATCGAGAACAGTTTTGGTTACGGTGATATTTGTTTTGATTCTGATCTTTGGTGGAACCAGCTTGTTTCTTTGCGATGAAGCAGGTCCTAATAGAGCGGACTGAAAACGTATATGGTTGTAAGATGTCAGTGCAATTTACTGATGTACTGCACAGATGTTAGAGACTTTCGTCACCTTCCATGTACATATTGTTTACAGGTGATATCCTAAAAGCACTATGGTGAGTGAGTGAGTGAGTTTGGTTTAACGCCGCTTTTAACAGTTTTCCAGTTATATCACGGCGTGTCAGCTTAATGTGGGAGGAAAGCCCGAACTGATTCAGGTCTCAGACGTTTACCACTTCGGTGAAACCCACGAGCACGGGTATAGTGCTGACAAACCTAGAAACATAATCGGGGCGAACCGGGATTCGAACCAATAATCATAGGTTTCTGGCGTGCCCAAGGGACGCAACTCTGCACAGCGAATCGCGGCGCCTTAGACGACTTGGCCACCCGTGCCCCCCAAAAGCACTGTGGAAAAGCCGTACATCTTGATGAAGTATTTGGGTAATGAGTGCGGCATTAAACAAACATACAAACAAACTACTCATGACAGTTTGTGTTGAATAAGCGCAGTTCCTTGTGCATGTATTGCCTTCCCGAATTCAGTGTCTGTTCATTATTCTTTTCTCCTTTCAGTTGCTCGACAACTACGTGCACCCTATACACGCAGCTGGACCTCCATGTGAGACGAAATGAGTGAAGATAAATATTCTGATGTATCCAACAACTGTTTCTCTCAATAAAAATGTTTGCAATCACATATAAGTTCATTAATTCTGGCGACCATGGAGTAAGTAAGCGCATAGGTGTGCATACTCTTCGCCGCAGTCAGCAATAGTATTTGTTTGCCTGCAGCCCAAACACCGATAGTAATTGGAACATGCAAGACGGGTATGAGTCCAGGAATAATATAACAGCTCTCTGTTACGCCTTGGGGTTTGGTTACTGTCCTTCAAAGGGAAATTTGTTCTTCCAGTGTATCACGTTACCCGTTTGTTAAAGAAATCAATTTCCTCACAATAAGACGTTCACATCGCGGTATACATCCTACCTTCACACTCGTTCTGCATCGGTTTTCTGTCGATAGAGGTGCCATTATGCCCAGAGATTCATAGAATCATATGTAGAGGAACTGCCTTGTAGACAAGGCTCGTTGCATAAAGTTTTATTTCTGTTTTTCTCCCTCATATGTTTTGTATATTTTTGGTATATATATTTATGGATATTGATTAATAAAATGATCCTGATGACTGTTTGTCTGTCATATTGGACCTTATGTACATCACCTTGCTCAAAATGTAGTGATTTATTTGTTTCAATGTACGAATCATCATTAATAGGTACATTGTGCATATACAACACGACCGTTTCTTTCGAAAAACACGACCCCGTTTTATTAGATCAGATATGTTTAAATCAGCATGTGTCATTCAAACGACACAAGACTAAGAGGCTGAAACTTTATGTGAATAACAAGCACTTATCTACAAAAATGTTTGTTTGTTTTAAGTCATCGTAGCATTAACGACCTTTACTGTAATAATTATAAAATGTTATACCATTCACATGTTTAAGAATGAGAAAGCATTTACTGTAAAATTATAAAATGTTATACCATTCACATGTTTAAGAATGAGAAAGCATATATGATTTGGGATTTTGTGTGATGGAAATTAAACAACTTTACACCTTGCTGCTCATCAAGTAATAAATTTTGCCATAAGTACTCACGAAAATATTTGGTCATCTAGTTCGTAGTCTAATTGTCAATTATTGTTAACTGTTTACCTTTTTTGACTACAGATAGTGGAGCGGCACTATCTATAAAACCAAGGTCTTTGCTTAGCAATGTATGTTTCCTTCCCTCAACGGCCAAGATCACATTCATCTTGTACCCTGTTCTGAGGACTATTTCAGAGCAAGACTGCAAGCTTCAACGAGGGGAATGTAAAGGTGAATGTGGACATGGCGAGATTGAAGTCTGGTACACTTGTGTCTCCGGACAGGCCTGCTGCTTCCAGAGTGAGTTTACCAGTAACCCGAGAACTGTTGTCGGGCTTGGTTCATGGTGTCATCGTTCCCAGGTTTTGCTCATGCTATCAACCAACTGTTTACCCGGTCCAGACACTTATGAAGATTCCGGGGTAGAATAGGTCTTCAGCAACCCATGCTTGCCGTGAAAGGTGACTATGCTTGTCGTAAAAGGCGACTAACGGGATCGGGTGGTCAGGCTCGCTGACTTGGTTGATGCATGTCATCGATCCCAATTGCGTGGATGGATGCTCATGATATTAATCACTGGATTGTCTGGTCCAGACTCGATTATTTACAGACCGCCGTCATATAGCTGGAATATTGTTGAGTGCGGCGTTAAACAATAAACCAACCAACCACTTATTGTGAATGAGAGAGTTGTATTTTAGACCGTTTTTAGCGACATTATAGCAATATCGCACCGAGGCTTTCGGCGTGACCAGTGAACGCTTAAACTACTAGTCTACAGCACCCCCTGCATAGATTTACAGGATAACGTAATATATTTGGAAAAATGCTGACAATAGCATATTACAATATACACTCAATCACGCAATTAAAAAGTACGTGGCAATGTTATGTAAAAGAGGCAAAACGAATATCAGAATATGTATCTTGTGTAAATAGAGTGTATCAGTTATGTATATGATAGACTGATCACTTGATATTCGGGGAGGGTAGGGGTGGGTATTTTAAAAACGATCATTTACTCCAGAAAGTACTTGAAAAACATATTTCTGTCTCAGGTTTGACAACTTGAAATGCTAGACAAGCTGGATGTCAAGAAACAATGTAGTGTAAAACATCCACACCCACCCATCGCAAGAATATTGACTAATCAGTCCTGAACCTAAACATTCCGAGATTAAAGGATTGATGTATTGTTGTGATGATTGACACATGTTATAGCTAACAGCTGGCCCGAAATGAACACATTAACCCTCTTTTACTGATGATCATTTCAGCCAAGTGTGATATCGAGCACATGCAGTCAATTTGGTTGATATCTGGTGTCACAGGAGCATCAAAAACAAAATAAATTTCAGCAACTAACTTTTTTTCGTTCTATTACAGTGATATCTACCATATTTACAGAACGTCAACCAGGTGTGTATATTTCTACTGATGAAGCCATGTCCAGCTGATATGAAGACATGTTTGACAGGAATAAAGCAATATTGGTGAAACATATATATATATATATATATATATATATATATATATATATATATATATATATATATACTCATGCGGACGTTTCATCAATTATTTTTTGAGTAGTTTCAATTCAATTTTCACGATTATATTGTTTTTAATTATTAAGTTTGCTTTATTATATATGATATTTCATCTATCCTACAAGCATAGATCAGTTGGACAAAAGGTTTAAACATCAACATGATTTGTTAAACCAAATGGTGATTAAACAACTGGAACTATAATGATGTAGCATGTTACTGTTTATATAAAAAGCCCATGTATTTAGAAATCGACTGTGATGCTAGAATGAACCTGTTACGATGGGTGGCTGAATAGGTCTTCAGCAACCCACGCTTGCCGTAAAAGGCGACTAACGGGATCGGGTGGTCAGGCTCGCTACTTGGTTGATGCATGTCATCGATCCCAATCGCGTAGATCAATGCTCATGATGTCAATCACTACTGGATTGTCTGGCCCAGACTCGATTATTTACAGACCGCTGTCATATAGCTGGAATATTAAATAGTTGAGCGCGGCGTTAATCAACAAACAAAAATACAACGACCGACCGCGTTGATGGAACACACATTTCTGTCAACGATGCTTGAGTGCGTTGGTCTGACGGTCCTCCTCGAAATGTAAAAAGTCCTCTACATCATTTGCATCATATTTGCCAGGCAGTTCCTCCTACTAGTTACGTCATATTTGGAAAAACACGCGTTTCAACGGCGTTTAGCCTTGATACTCGCCCGCAGTTGCCTTGGTCAGCATAATACTGGCCAAAATGGTCTGACCCCCCCCCCCCCCACACACACACACACACACACTCTCCTCTCTCTCGAAGTCCACTGCACACATTTGAACAGCGACAAAGGAAGGAGCATCATCACCTACATGGACCTGTTGTAAAAGGCGACTGACGGGATTCCAATTGCGTGAATCGATGCTCATGACATTAATCACTGTATTGTCTTGTCCAGACTCGATTATTTACAGACCGCCGTCATATAGCTTGAATATTGCTGTGTGCGGCGTTAAACAACAAACCAACCAACATTTGACACGGAGGGCTGTTGGAGATGCTTGATAACACAGAATACCAATCACTTAGATGTCTGCAGAAATATGCTGTCTGGTGGTGTCAATGGTTCGAGGGCAGCCTGTAACGGGAAATATTGCACTTAATACATGCGACTTGTCATGGGTGTACGAATCATCCTTCTTTGGCTCAGAGTTTTTCAGCTACCACACGTAGAATTTGACATACAGGTATTACATATTGATCTTTTTTTTTATTACCATAGTCATTGGTCAGAGTGGTGGTACCCTGACTTCGGACGAAGCAGCCCCTTCCCAAGAAATACACATGCGGGACGTTTTTGGCGCAGGTTATGTTTTTTCTGTTCTTTGTCATTTTTTCATTGATAATGTAAACGTTAACGGTCATTAATGTTTATATGTGACTCAATTCAGTTCTCAAAATAGCTCATTTAAACGACTTCTAATCGAAGAAAGTATTCATCTCACATGTGTGTATCATATAAATATGTTGTCGGATATTACTGGCTGTTATTTACAGGGTATCAAACAATTCACTAGGCCATACTCTTACCCTGGCCTGCACGGGTTTTGTTATAGTAGCAGCTGACCTGGGGATCCCCACGATAAAGCAATATCGCTTCTAAAGACCCGTGAAGATTCCGGGATAGAACAGGTCTTCAGCAAACCATGCTTGTCGTAAGAGGCGACCAACGGGATCGGGTGTCAGGCTCGCTGACTTGGTTGATGCATGTCATCGATTTCAATTGCGTGGATCGATGCTCATGGTATTAATCACTGGATTGTCTGGTCCAGACTCGACTATTTACAGACCGCCGTCATAATATTGCTGAGTGCGGCGTTAAACAACAAACTCAACTTAAACGAGAGGTCATTTAGAGATAAGTTCTAATGATGCACCGAGATGAGAAGTGATAAACGAAACAAGTTGTGAGGATAACAATGAATATTTTTAAATGAAATAAATCCGAACAAACGTTTCAACAAGAATATTAAGGCTTGTGATACACACTCAAATAGTTCCAACTCCGAGCAACACCCAACTCTGTGTACGCCAACTCTTCCACAATTACACATAAGCTGCTGTGAACATAAAAGTCACTGAGTATACGATACACATTGTACCTTGGCCTCATAAAGTTTTGGCTCGTGAAAATCCGAGGTAGAATAGGTCTTCAGCAACCCATGCTTGACGTAAAAGGCGACTAAGCTTGTCGTAAGAGGCGACTATCGGGATCGGGTGGTCAGGCACGCTGACTTGGTTGATGCATGTCATCGATGCCAATTGCGTGAGTCGATGCTGGTGATGTCAACCACTGGATTGTATGGTCAAGACTCGATTATTTACAGGCCGCCGTCATACAGCTGGAATATTGCTGACTGTGGCGTTAAGCAACAAACCAACCAACCATAAAGTTTTACTTTACCATGATCATAAGGCCGTCTCGTGAAGATGGTGTTCTGCTGTGGCATCGTGCACGAAGCAGGGGAACACCATACGAACACAGGCCATTTGATCGCGTAAATATCAGCGACAGAAAACATTCAATTATCATCAGAAATCCCCTTGGCGAAGCCCGAAAATTGAAAAGTAATCACCAAACTTTTTTATTTTGTGTACACAACAGTGTATTTCTAAGGTGTGTATTAATCTGTAGTTTGTTCTTCCGATGCGTCCCTAAATAGTACCTCACCTATTGGTGGCACCTGACACGTTTTACCATCTCATGAATGTTAAAATGTCCATGTTTTGTCATATCTGTTGATAGATGACCGCAATATTTGCGAGCCAACGGGCACCTGCAAGGGAAAGTGTGAAGACGTAATGGAGGTGGAGTTATCTTGGTATCAGTGTGACGCAACTGACGAGACATGCTGCGTTGTTGGTTTGTATCTATTCAGACAACTACAAACCCAATTGGATCCAGCTAGTGTTATATTAATGGTGCTCGTATTACGAGACACCTGTCGGCGATAGCTTAACGTAAACATTGGTGCAGCTGGTTTGGATTTTGGTTTGTTGTTTAACGCCGCACTCAGCAATATTCCAGCTATGTGACGGCAGTCTGTACATAATCGAGTCTGGACCAGACAATCCAGTGATTGATATCATGAGCATCGATCCACGCAATTGGGATATGATGACATGCATCAACTACCAGCGAGCCTCGTGAAGCTGGTGGAAGACTGGATTCATATGTTGGATATAATGAGGATCTCAAGTTCTCAAAACAAATGAAAAAATGCGTTTCCACTATTACCCTTAAGTGTGTGAAGAAACGGTGCTTACCAGGAGTGAGTGAGTTTCGTTTAACGCCGCACTTAGCAATGTTCCCGCAATATCACGACAGGGGACACCAGAAAAGGGCTTCACGCATTGTACCCATGTCGGGTGCTTTCATAATTGATTCAATTCGTCTACGTGATTTGTAGAAGATATAAAGAACCAAATATGGAAAAGGAAAATGTTCGGTGAAATAATTTTGTATAACAATAACACCTATCTTGTAACCGTCAAGTGAGTGCGAACAGGTTCAATTGTGACGTAACAAGCAACTGAGTGAGAGAGTATGGTTTTACGCCGCTTTTAGCAATATTCCAGTAATATCACGGCGGGGGACATCAGAAACGGGCTTCAGACATTGTGCCAACGTCTGGATTCGAATTTGGGTCCTCGACGTGAGCAAACGCTTTAACCAATAGGCTAGCCCACCGCCCTACCAGTAGTGAAGTTATGTCTATTGTTTCATTGAAAGAACCCCGGAACCCTTCCAAAAAACAACTCGCTAAAGGTTTTATTAATCACTCCTCTCATGCCTTTTTTTCGTTTCAGCGGGTCAGTAAAGACATCATGATGCTGTTTTAGCAAGACACATTAACTGGTATGTTTGGAGGTGACCAACCCGTCGGACGACCATGTAACAGGTGTACTGGCTTACTTTCGCTGCTCAATAAAAACTGCATCACCACTATTTGTCACACATTTATGAGTATTAACCATGATTCGCCCTGTATCTGACAGTGATTTATAAACACATCCCTCAGATATAGTCGGCGACTATGCTTGTCGTAAGAGGCGACTAACGGGATCGGGTGGTCAGGCTCGCTGACTTGGTTGATGCATGTCATCGATCCCAATTGCGTGGATCGATGCTTTTGATATTAATCACTGGACTGTCTGTCTAGAATCGATTATTTACAGACCGCCGTCATATAGCTGGAATATTGCTGAGTGCCGTCTTAAACAACGAACAAACGAACGGTATCGAACGATGGAGAGTTTCTTACCAGAATCCTATGATCGCAGGCTCAAATGTTTGTGTTCCATCACCATAGCCGCGCTCATGGATTTCGCCAAAGTGGTAAAAGGTCTGATTAAAGCGATGATTAAAACTATTTCCATGACCATACTAAGTGTCTACTAAAAGTAGTACGACCCCGACTCTATCATGAGCATGTGGTAGTGAATCACTATCACATACCAGGTGTTAGCGAAAAGGTGAATCGTGTTTTGCCCCACTCGTGGCACCGGTCACAAACACATGCCAAGGCAGGTCACTTCTTCATCTGAAGCCTGCATCACTTCGGGATTCCCTGGCATCCCTGACAGTAGGGATCAGAGTTAAACCCAACGAGTTGCAGCAAAGTGTGACATGTTTGTGTGGCATCGTAGATGACTTAATGGATCACAATACAGGTTAGTTAACACAGCAACACCAAGATATGTCAGTAACACCTAGATATGTCAGTAACACCTAGATATGTCAATAGGCGCGGTCGGGTAGCCTAGTGGTTAAAGCGTTCGCTCGTCACGCCGAAGACCCGGGTTCGATTCCCGACATGGGTACACTGTCTGAAGCCCATTTCTGGTGTCCCCCGCCGTGGTATTGCTGGAATATTGCTAAAAGCGGCGTAAAACCATACTCACTCACTAGATATGTCAATAACTCCTAGATACATGTCCATGGTTGTCATGCTAACATGACAAAAGAAGTAATGGAGAGAGTCCTTGTGTCAGTGTGTAAATACAGTTTACGTAATTTTAAAAAAATTCACGGAGATATATACCAAACAAAGAGTCGTTCACAACAGTTAACCATATGTTTCCCACATGCTCACCCATTTCGCCACCACCTGGTGTCATCTCTTATTTTCAGTGATAGATTCATATAAACTTCACCGCTATTTTGCCTTTTGCGGCCAATGGAATTTGTATATGAAAAAGGTAGGACTAGGGGTTACATGACAATCATGTTCGTGGTGTATGACAGGGTGTGGTGTCAAAAGACGGAACCTTTGAGATGTATGAATAAAAAATATTCATGCCCCCGCCATTGGTGAAACATTCGTTTACACATCGTTGGATGGTCCGAATGAATCTCCCAATGGCAATTTGAGGGAGTCCCTTGCAGCGCCTGGCCCAGCTCGGTTCACGTTGCAGCTGGCCTTTGACGTCGGCGTACACTCCCAATAATGCACAAGAAGTGCTCTTTGTGGGCAGTACGTGAGTTAACATTTAACGTCGCATCGGAATTATTTCACCCATATAGCGACGAAACCAAGTTTATGTCAATGCAAAGTTATATATAAAGACACATTTTATCAAACATACATAACAATATCATTACTATATTTTTAAAACACAGGCTAAAGGTCCCCAGCAACCACAGCTAGGCTACCTCGCTGGGGATCATGGGGACTTACATGACACCTCAGCATAATTTACGTCATCACATTAGCCATTGGTAGTTGTGCACAATACTAGGCAATACAAAAAAAATACTCAGCAATGAGTTGGCTTAAAAACACTGGTTGATGACAGTTGATGACATCGATTATGATAGGATTACGTGTCACACGGGGGGACAATTATTTTACAGTACTTTTACCCCCTGGACAGAGCCTTCAATAAAGTCAGTTGATGATAACATCACAACAAATTTAAAAACAAGCATTGCATTATTTACATACATATTTAAAATTTATTATACACTTAATTTCTTCAAAATAGCTGATGATAAGACACGGGAAAAGGGATCTTTCAGAATTACGCTGTGATAATTTGAATCCCTTGCGATTGCAAAGTCCACAAAGTCAAGCAAAAAAATGACCTTTCATCATAAGGGATACACTTAGGAGGTTCGTCCTCATCTGTCTTAAGCAGATATTCGTGAGTAAACCGACTGGCCAGTTCGTCGTAAATTGATCTCGTCATTTCTTGACTGACAACCCAAGTACATGTATGTGTATGACCTATTGTTGTTTTTAATTCGTGAAGTTTATTGCTTTCTACTTGGGTGTCCCACCTCTTTTGCATGAGATCCCGAGTATAACTTTTAACAGTTGGTTTAAAATCGCTGTACAGGAAAAGTAGTGGAGAAAACGGTTTGTCAAGAGCTGCTTTAGCTGCAGCATCGGCTTTTGAGTAACCTATTATGACTACATGACTTGGCAGCAAAAGACGATGTCTCATTGGCCAGTGGAAAGATCATTGAAACGTTCTAAAATGTCTAGAATATTAGGGTGATATGATTTTTAAATGCCTGAAGGCTAGACAACGAATCAGAGAAGATGATGAATTTGTTTTTTATTGGCTTTGACGTTTGATATAGGTGAAAACTGTTAGGATAGCTTTGGTTTCAGCAGTAAAGATAGAACTAGAATCAGGGATACTTGAGGGGACAGTTCTGGATCCATTGACGGTGGCACTATCAACTTTGCCACCATCCTTGGACACGTCTGTGAAAATGGACCTGTGAGAATTATAATGAGTTCACAATTGGTTGTACGCGTGTTGAAAAAACAAAGGATTTGTTTCGAATCTTTTGAGTTGGGTTAGAGTGAGGTCTACCTCTGGCTTCACCATCTGCCAGGGAGGAGAAGACAGAAGACGGAAATGTATTATATTAAGATCAATTTTAGCTGCTGTGATGTGTGGCTGAATTCTGATTCCAAGTAGTAGAATCAGGTTTGATTGATTTTGAAACAGGTTTTCATACTGAGGGTTGAAAACACAATTGTATGCTGGATTGGATATGTTTGAGTGCAGTTTAGTGATATATGCAATGAAAGTTTAATGTGGCGCAGTTCGGGTGAAGGTTCATCAGCCACCACATACAAACTGTCCACGGGAGAGGTCCTGAAAGCTTGAGAGCCTTGGGCCCTGGTGATGTATTGTGTCTGATTTCTCTTTTGCAGGCTCCACCATAGACAATGGCACCATAGTCTAGTTTGGAGCACATTAACGATATGTACAAGTGCAGGCGGGTGGTCTCATCCCCCACCCCACTCGGAATTTGACTTTTAACAAGTCGAGAGCCTTCAGGCACTTTCCCTTGACATTTTGAATGTGTGGTAAGAATGTGAGATGACGGTCAAATATGAGGCACAGGAATTTGGCCTCCTCTACTACCTTGATAGGAGTACCATCTAAAAGTAAATACTGGTCAAAGGAAACATGACAGAGTATAAACAACCTGAAACACTGATTACAAAGACATCAAACGGTATGTCAACCACAACAAGTCCAAGTTATGGAGGCGAAACCGGCACGTATGTGGCTAGTTGATTGTATATGATTCAATAATTGAATTTGATTATCTGTGTGATAGTCAAGTTGGACAAACTCAGGACCACGGACAAGGCTGTAGCTTGGTCACCTTTAGGTCTTCAAGGGACCGACGTTTCATGGACCATGATCTAATAATGGGGACTTCAAGCATCAACCTGGGACTATTCAGTAATAAGATGACTATATAAGACATGATTAGATAATGGTCCATGAAACTTCTGTCCCTGGACAAGTTCATGAGAAAGTGATCATGTTGTATTCATCAGGAATTAAGGCAAGATACTGAACAGTGAATATATATCATTGTCTGATTGATTGCAGAATGTATAATATTTAGTCATAATGAAGTAAAAATACTTCACTGGTGAATGTATCTCAAGCAGTGCTATAAATAACTTTCCAACTGTTCGTCTCTTAGGGGGACAGGACTGACTCAGTTTCCATTTGTTTATTTTATAAATTTTGTTTATTAATTCATATGAACATCTGAAACATGAATGGTATGCAAAAACTGAAAAGAAGTAGAAAACTGTGAAAAGATAGGGGGCTTGATTTAAGCCCAACGGGGTGACCCGAGCCTTTTGAACCGGTAGAGGGGAATGACCCGAGCCTAGACTGAAAGCACTCCAGAATGATTTGGACACGGTTGCAAACCTCCTTAGAGAGATTTTTAAGGGACTGATGTGATCCTTCTACACGGGGTCAGAAAAGTCTCCAGCACTCCAGGACTTGTCGTAAAAGGCAGCCGATTTGGAAGGCTCTGGTTTGCTCAGGAATCGCCATGCATGGACGTGGTGCATCACACTTACCCTAAACGTTTTGCTATGGTTTTGGCTGTGTCATGTTGCCATTGCTATGAGATCGTCTCGTGGAACGTGTCGGGAAACTGAGTATAGGTCTCCAGCTATTGCTGTTGGTCAAAAGGGTAGAATTTTTTAATCTGATGGTCAGGCTCCGTGACGCTGCATGTGCAAGGATGCGGTGTATAACGCTTATGCTTTCAGTCAATCCTTTTCCTGGATGCAGTGATATATCCAAAATATTTCTATGGGGACTAAACGCACTTAAATCACTGACATCGTAGTTTCACAAACATGTTGATAACATATTTGCTGGAATAGCAATGAAAACAATGAGCTCTATAGCTGACCGAAAACCTTTGATATGTGCATTTATTGCCCCCAAGTAACATACAAGTATTTCCTTTGGTATCTTCAGCTGCTACGTGTCATTTGCGTATATTGTTGTTGTTGTTGTTGTTGTCAACGCCGGTTACCCTAAACAAAAAGGATGACTATTACTCAACTGTTGCATTCATCCTCTACAATGTTTCAAGTCATTTGCATAACTATAAGCTCGTTCATGAGAACAGTGTCGGTATTGAGGTGCGACCACATCAGAATTGAATTAGGTTTACTTTCAGAAGAATTTAGTATGAAGATTGATGAAAGCATCTAGATTAACAGATTTCTAGGTAATGAATCAATGGTACAATGAATCAATGTGGAGGTCATGTAGGACGTTCATAATAGTAATTATCTGTCAACTGGGACTTCAGGACACGAGGAGGCGACTGACGAGATCGGGTAATCAGGCTCACTGACTTGGTTTATGCATGTCATCGTATCCCAATTGTGTGGATCGATGCTCATAATGTCAATAACTGGATTGCCTGGTCCAGACTCGATTATTTAAAGACCGCCGTCATATTGCCGGTATATTGCTGACTGTGGCATTAAACCAACAAACCAACAAAACTTCGGGACACACGCGATTTCACTGTGGAGAATAGCTATGGTACATACCCGGTAACATAAAACAGCACACTTGACCAGTAGGACAACTAAGTGTCGGCAGCCCTAGAGCACAAGCGGTAGATTGACAGGTTCCGGGGTTCCCAAGCATACCACATGCTGTAACAAAAAAAAAGAAGTTGAGTGAGTGAGTGAGTGAGTACGGTTTTACGCCGCTTTTAGCCATATCCCAGCAAAATCACGGCGGGGAACACCAGAAATGGGCTTCACACATTGTACCCATGTCGGGAATCGAACCCGGGTCTTCGGCGTGACGAGCGAACGCTTTAACCACTAGGCTACCCGACCGCCCCAAAAAGAAGTTGAATGTGATGTGTACATCTTTACCTGGAACGAAAAATTAACAATGCCTATAACTGTCGATGTTTGTTAGTGGGTATCCCTGCCTATCTATAAAGAAACCTCGTTAAGGCCCTTCTGTTTCCTACTTACGCAAACGTACATTCAACTAGGAGTAGTAATAGTAGTAGTTGCTGTTTGGACTGACGTACATTTACGGCCACAGTATCATCCAGTATTCCCTTAAAATTGAGTTATTTTCCTTTGCAACATGATACTTTTGAAACAGTAACGAAATCAACACAGTGAAAACTGTGAATGTCCTTCGCGAAATATGTTTATCATGACATTTTGCTCCCTGATAAACCCTCCTCTCCAGGGAACTGTTTGAGTGCCATTCTAGAAGTTGACATATAAGTAAGAAAAACGTACAAATTTATGATGAGAGGTATTTATGCATGACATGTTGTGACAAGCAGCAGATTAATATTGACAACAACGGTAGTAGATAACAAGTAGCATTAGATAACAACAAGCATACAGATAATTGGATGAAGCCAAATGTACAGTAAGAATAGCAAATAGCACACAAGCACACGGGTAGCAAAGCCAGATACACATCAAGAAGACAGTTGTCAACCTCAGCAGTAAAACCATCACCAAAACTCAAATCAACGTCCTCGCCAAAGCACTTACATATCTATGCCCAGACACAATTACGATGAATTCATCAGCAACATTGAGAAATTAAAGGCATAAAGCAAACCCCTTAATGGGACAGATTGACTACCTGCGACACCAGATCAGCCACATTCTTCAGAAGGGCCACCACAAACACCTAACCTCAACCACGCTGAGACGAAAACCACCAAACGCTGATCATTACTTATCTATATAACTTAAGTACTGGCTTCCATACCATCAGCGCTAGATACTGTAAAGTGTTGGCTTCAACTGCCTATTGCTAATCACCTATCAGTGCCAATCATCTGTTAGCTTCCCTTGTTAGTTTCTACCCTTTGTTATTTTCCACTTATTGTTATCGTATTAATTTTGTTGTCCGTACATGCACAGAAATTTATATTATGCTGTCTGCCTCATATGGCATTCATTCACCTGATGAAGGAGTAAGCATATACTCTGAAACTTTGAGTTCCTCTTAATGAAGAATTTGACATCCATATATTTTCTTCCTTATGTGTATCACTTCTTCTTGCCTTTCAAAGGCCCGAGACGAACAACACTTATGAGACAAAGTGAAGAAGGGGGAATCAGGATTGTAGTTATAAACTTATATACTCATTAATTCATTAACATTAAATATCATCAACCTTTGGAAAGGTTTTGGCTGCACAGGGATTTTTTCCACAGAAAACATAAAACCGCAGATATTGATCAAGTACTGTCTGAACCTTTTTGGTTAAGTCATCAATTAAAAAAGTAGTAATTTCCTCATAAGACATTGGCATGTTAATGATATTCACTCCATCAGGGACCTGTGTAATGATCATTTGCATCAAAAGAATTCAGCCAGCCATAAACAGAGATCAAGGATACCACATCCCTCCAGCTTACCATGATCTCATCAGTTTGCCAAAAATCTGAACTATTATCTGCCCACTGGCTTCCCATGCATTCCTTCTTAGTAATCCTTGTGTAAATCCCATACCCATCAATTACTGTACATCAACCCTATCTCTTGTATAAACATATCTTATCAAAACTACCTAATCAATCAGTGTACATCAACCTTATCTGTTTTATAAACATCTATCTATTGTTATGTATCTCCGTGTGCGAAATACGCATCAGTCGGAAAGCGCACGTTAAATCTCCAAAGTAAGTAAGTTATGTATCTATTTCATGCTCATACCTAGTTTGTAAATCATTTGCTTGATAACGGTGTCAGAATCATTGCTCATCCATAACAATTTTGTCTTAGTGATCAAGATTTTGTGCCATTTTAAGAGCTTAATCAAACCTACAAATTAGAGTTACAATTCCCTGATTATCATTGGGTTCTTTCAAATATATCTTAAGAAAGGAAATATACTATTAGAAATAATTCTTCAATAGTAGATAATCATGTTCTCAACACATCATTGTACAGCTGTTAACAGCCAATCAGATGGCGCTGGTCCCCCGACGCACGTGATACCCAAGGCATCCTTTAGTGAGCAGTTGGTTTCGTATCACTGGTATGCCTTGATCTGGTATCTGTCGCGCGCAGCGCCGCGAGATTTACTCATAAGTCAGTTAGGAGATGAAACCTGTTAATGGCATTCAGACACCCTACAAGAAGTCAAACTTAACCATGTTACCAAGTTTATTAGGATAACATATCCCTCTGCTATGTACAGTTACCTCTATCGGACAATGGGTGTGTTTTATTTGTTTTTTCTAATGTGAAATTTACACGATATACGGCATTTACATCGGACGATAGGTTGGTCACATGACCGCGCAATTGAAGTGCATAAGTTTATGAACGATACATTTTGACGTTCATACGTTTTCCAAGAGACTGTAGTCTTGAAATGACGTAAACCCTGACAGACTACTTCCACATTCCCTGGGGTTTCCCCGAGCAAGCTATGACGTTCATACAGTTTGCTCCTCACTCTCACCTCACTCAATGAAGGTTCATAATTTAATGTGGAAGTGGAGGTCACGCTTTGAATAACCCTTTTTTATATTTTACCATCGGGCGACAATGCAACAATGCCACAATTATCAAGGCATCGTTGTTGCATTGTCGCCAATCATAAATGTGTGAAAAAAGGCGGTATGTTCAGTTAACGTTACAGTTAGGAAGCCGTTTCCAACTTAGTAGTAGTTCTACCTGATACGTCTTGAATTGAAAACACAAGTCCGACCGCGGGTTCATATCATTTTATTGTGAGGTCTTCTCTAGAGGTGTTTAGTGCTCATGTTTCAAACTGCCCCGCTCGCGCTGGTTTACATGCATATATAGCTTCTAAAAGTGTTGACAATATTTTTAAAAAGTAATAAAGCCAGACTACGTAGTACCTCATTCACAATTCACATGCCTCTAGTTCAGCGGTCGTCCAGAAGATCTTACACTTGACCTTATAAGACAACCGATGAGTCCACGCCTGACCTGTGACCTCGTGACCCCCATGATGTACGTGTTTGTTTGAAGGAGGGGGAAAAGAAATGTGCCCACCACCGAGCTCGCTACACACTGGATACTGCATGTGATAAACAGTATATTACACTTGATATACTGTATACTGCATGTGATAAGTATTTGAGGAAAAGGTACAACGTAAGGATTTAAGATTCTAGTTGCATCTATTTCTTATACAACAGACAGCCGTCATATCACTGGGAATATTGCTGAGAAGGGTATTAAACGGCACACACAATTTCTTTTCAAAATGGAGCGCTGCAGTCATTTCAAATAGAACAGTAACTGGTAAGGGTTTTGTGTACTAGAACACCGTTGGCCATGTTAGATGATATAACCAAACCCCAGCTGCCAGAACGGATTGGAGCCCCAGCGGGGAGCCTAACTGGACTTGTTATGGTGTGGTAGGAGCTCTGATTTTGGCTGTCTCCCAGTCCCAAGAGGATAAAGTAAAAAGGAGTCTAACTCAAGTCTAGAATGATTGGGAAAGTCTAGTTTGCCTCAGCTCTAGCCTGAAATTAAGAACTGTTCTGTGTTCATTAAATTGTTTGTTAGGCGTTTCGGTATGGGTAAGGTGTTGACAACAAGGGGATAATACTGTCACAACACGATATATGTGCAATTGTTGTTACTGTTAATCCTCTACTGTTAATCCTCCACCTACTATATATAATCTGTACTAAGTCCCTCATTTAGCCTTGCTTGGCAACGGTATAAGGATCTATACTACACGTAGCTTTTTACAGTATTAAAGAGGTTGTTATCCATAAAATTGTGTCTACCTTGTTCTGTGTTCCTTTTTAATTTTAATATTTTTATTTTGTAAACATTGATAGACCAACCAACCAGGAAAGATATTGATGGTAAATTGATATCACATGTTACAACTGATCCAGTTAAATTCACACAATGAAATATTAGTATTTGATATTACGAAGTGCATGATCATGGACATGTTCACATCGTAATTTGCATACTAGTCTTTGGTTTGGTTTGTTGTTTAACGCCGCACACAGCAATATTCCAGCCATATGACGGCGGTCTGTGAATAATCTAGTCTGGACCAGACAATCCAGTGTAGACAACATGCGCATCGATCCAAGCAGTTGGGCCCGATGACATGCATCAACCAAGTCAGCGAGCGTGACCACCCGATCCCGTTAGTCGCCTTTTACGACAAACGTAGTCGCCTTTTACGGCAATCATGGGTTGCTGAAGAAATATTCTACCCCGGATCTCCACGGGCCGCATACAAGTCAATTTGGTTATACTTTATATTAAAGTGTCGCGCGGCATCAATGATAACTATATGATATCCTCAAATGTCATTGATGTATTGACATCAGACAATTGACGACAATTCGACATTCTTATTCGAGCTATAAACAGCTTCATCAGCGGCAGTACCGGTGTCAGAAGACAAATACAATTTTCGTAGTTCAAAATATTTATCTACAAAATACAATGCAAAGGAGCCCAGAACAATGCTTAATTTCAGCACGAGAAGTAGGGTAATTTAGACCTGCCAAATAGTAGGATTTCTTTTAAATTTATTCTCTATGGGCTGGAAGAAAACTAGGGCGTCAGTATCGCATGAAAAACTGACTTGCAGGGAGAATTCTGCTAGGGCCTGCCTGGGTCAGTGTAATCGGATATGTTGCTGAGTCTCGGGTTTTGGCTGTTTGCTAAATAGAGCAAGGGCACACGAACAAGGGCATAATCTAGAGCATTACCACCCCACACAAGTGATTTGTAACCTTTGATTGAATAATTGCGTCATAACAGCATATTTTGTTTGCTTCTTGCTTTGTGAATTACCCATAAACAATGACAGCAACAATGTTAACATCTACCTGGAGATATACTACAATACTACTGAAGCGCATATCTGATAAATGTGACTAATCGACTAATATTCCCATCTTCCCATTCCCGTTACAGGCATTCTAATCATTATATTATGCGATGTATAATTAGTTTAAAAGTTGATACAAATTGCATTACAAATGACGGCAAATTAATGTCTAGTAAAATGTTTCCTACATTTTGAATTCATTATAATTTCAGCAATTAAAGCGTAACATCAGATAGTGATATAAACGGATATGATCTATACTGTGATAAGTAAATTATTAATTTCTTATTATGTGCGTAGGTACCCAACGATAGAGGCAACTCACTAACCAAACCGTTTGTGAAAAGTCAATTATTCAAAGTTAAGGGGTTTGGTCATGTGCATTGAATTACAGACATGAAATTAACACCAGTGATTAAATTATTAATCCAAATTTATTATAAATAAAACTAAATATGAACAAAATAAGACTTTACTTTAATTTCTCATTTTTGGAGGGTGTTTTGATAATAGATTGTGTTTGAATGTTTGTTGTTTTACGCCGCACTCAGCAATATTCCAGATATATGACGGCAGTCTGTAAATAATCGAGTATGGAGCAGATAATCAAGTGATTGATATCATGAGCATCAATCCACGCAATTGGGATCGATGACATGCATCAACCAAGTCAGCGAGCCTGACCCCCCGATCCCGTTACGTCAAGCATAGTCACCTTTTACGACAAGCATGGGTTGCTGAAGAGCTATATTTGCGGATATTCACGGGCCTGGTTGAGGCTTTGTGTTGGATGTGTTCCCGTGCTTTTTCAGGTAAATAATTGGCTGGCGTTGCATTTCTTTGTGGCGGATGCCAGCGGTGGGACAGTGTGAGCTCACCTTTTTGCGAGCACCCAGTGTCATCCTTACATACATTCACACCCCTCTCAATATACCTCTACATCCACCCCACTATATCTACACAATCCCTGCATCCGTGTTTATGCTTACTTAAATACACCCTCCCCCCCCCCCCCGCCATTCCCAAAAATCCATCGAACTATAACTATAACTGTGTCCGCCTTCATGTATCCATATTCGTGATAACATACATACACCCTCCTACCATTCCCCTACATCTTTATCGCACTATAACTTTAACCTCCTTCATGTTTCCATACTCATACTCACAAATCACTGTGTGCATCCAATTACACGTTTCAAATATCGTAAATATGTTACAATATGTACATATCAAACATCAGCAACGGAGATAATTATAGCACAATAGATTTCCTCCGTCTAAATCGGAGCGCATTTAGAAATTCAACTTGTCAGCAGTGATATTTGCGGAAAATTACGATAAACTTCAGTTACAGATCTCCTTAACGAATATCTAATGCCTGAAAAAAATCACAGCTTGCTATAAAATATACTTCATCCTCAGGAGTTAGATCTTTACAGTATTTGAAAATACGATTTTCCAAAGGTGTTACGGGTCTAGTAAATCTACCAACCTCAACAGCTACAAAAAAGAAGTAATGGCAACATTCCACATCTAAATTTAGCTAATATACCACGTTGGGATCTAACCATGATAGTGCGAACGTGGAGCTCTACACAGAGATAGATAGTAGTTTTAAACTGCATGTATGTCCTAAGCTAATTACCGTTAACTGAGCCTCTGTCATCCCTAAAACCCATTTCATTATCAATCATAGTTATCTGGGTTTTTTAAATCAGGAAATTATCAATAATGCATAATATCATGTAGTATTTGTAGAATGTTTAGCAATTTGAAAACACCATTCTCCCAAGATTTACAGTATCTTTATAATAAGGACCAAGTTTTAATAGAACTAATGATATGATAGAACGGAACACAATGTACTCTCCTCCAAAAGACGATTTTAGTCTTGACATTATTGCTCAAACGCCTTCTTTGCACCAGTTCTCTGCACAATTAAGCATACGCAGCGACCAATGCGATGTCATCGGCATATATCAGCATAGATCCATCAATATTGATACCACAGTTAAAGTCATTAATATCATTAACCAAGTCATTAATAAAAACTGAGAATAACGTGGGCGACAACACGCAACCTTGCTTTCCAAGCATAAGGAATTCATCGGTTAAATGACCGTTAATACCAGTCTTGTAATGTAATAACGATGTAATGACGTAGTCGACCACGTGATTTTTTGTGAACCAATGCGGCCGTTTAATATACAGAGGGTGCGGTTCACCAAAAAGTCAATGAAAACATGACCATATGTATTTTCGTTACAGAAACTCACTTCTCTCTGTGTTACTGTGTCTACACTCCTATGTAATTCTTTTCAGAACCGATTCGAGAATTAAAATCACCACAGATACGAACAGAACCTAAGTTTTGGTAGAAGTAGACCTGTTCTAGAATCACTTAAAAAAACTTCTCACCGTCGTTCGTCCTACTGGAACAAGCAGGCGGAAGATGGCAAACACAGATAACAAGTACAAAATCTGAATCTACGCACGATGCTACCTTGAACCAAATAATGTCATCTGTGTCATTGTCTAAAATGTGAGTTTAAAATTCGTTAAAAAAGAATAAAAAAACAACACCCACCATACCCCACCCGAGTGAGTCAGTGGTATTCCTATTATTGCCCATCCAAGTAAAACCGTCAACATTAAAGGCGTCGTTCTTTCATAGAAGCGTTTCACACACACCGAATATGTCGCATTCAAGACTATTCAAAACATATTCTATAATTTTTTTGTTAGGGTATTCCCGATGTGACCATCCACCCGCATTCCAGTATCCAAGAAGCACTAACCGTTATTCCTTGGTTTCTATGTGACGTTTTCCGCGGAAAAGCAACTTTTTACTATGTCCAAGTTCGTTGATTATTGTTTGCATATTCAATCTTCCTCTCTTGAGATACAGATACACCCTTGAAAAGCCTTTCTGACGTACAGATCCTTCTTCTTATTCTACATCATCGTTCTCTTGTGTTCGATTGACTCCAGTGTCACCAAAAACACCTGGTTTATTATCCTTATGTATCATCCGCTTTACACTTGCCGTCCGCACATCGGCAAATATCAAGGCGTCCCGAAATAGTTTGTTGACAACTGTAGATTGATGTTCATGATGTCAATGACTGGATTGTATGGTCCAGACTTGATGTACAGACTGGTTTGGTTTGTTTGTTGTTTAACACCGCACTCCGCAATATCCCAGCCATATGACTGCGGACCAGACAATCAAATGATTGATATCATGAACAAAGATCAACGCGATTGGGATCGATGACATGCTTCAACTAAGTCAGCGAGCCTGGACAACCGATCCCGTTAGTCGCCTCTTACGGCAAGCATGGGTTGCTGAAGACTTAATCTACCCGGATCTTCACGGGGTTGAAACAAGACATAGGTGTGTCCTGTTTAAACCTTTCCGGAGACAAAATGATATCCTTATGACACCGACTGACATAATATTGACATAATATTGATTAATAAACTCGTATGTCCTGATTCTTGATTTAACTTACGTGCCAAAGTCGTTGTTGTCATTGGTAATATAGTAAAGGCACCTGAAAGGAAAGAATGAGAGTTATGAGCATAAAAATATTTTTTTCAACTGGTGCGGCATAATAAAGACGATGGCGTGTATCTTTTAAAATATTTGTCAATAATAGACTGAGATAATAGGACGAACAATGTGACAATGCTGGAAACAGGACTGCTTTATTTTTTATAAATCAGGGAATGTGTTTCTATGGCCTTCTTCCACATGTCTCTCTTTGGAAATGTTCTGACACTTGCCCTAAGAAAGTCAAAACTCACCCAAAAAAGTGTGTAATTAGCGTTCACAACAAAATTTAACACATAGTTATCACTGTGGTGTGATCTCAGAGGTCGTATAATTACTTACTGGAACAGCACACCTGACCACTTGGACATTGTCGAGCCTGAACGATTCCAGCAGGATCACAGGAACTCGAGGCAATACATGAAAGGACTCCGGGTATATTGCATGCTGAAATTTGAGATTTGTCAACCGAATTTAATCATGTCTAATGCATGCACTACAGGTTCTATTTCCAAACACGAAATTCCAACCCATTGCAATGCATGCTAACCATAATGTTAATCGCTTGTTGTGGCCAAATTTGGAGCCACCATGATCGCATTAACTGGATACGGATTGAGGAGGTCAATGCATTTCTATTCAATATCGGAATTCATGTCTTTCCCCCTACATAGACATAAATGAATTAATCACCATGGACTTTGCATTTAACAATGGACTATTTTATTTACCAAGATCGTCTGTAGCTGAGAGTTGAATACCGAACAGTGCCATTGCGGATCGACAAAATGTAAAGGTGCCAACCTAACGTATTGCTTTTTAACCCTAAATGTACATATTCTTGTAACTTACGTTGCAAAGTCCTTGTGAAACGATAAAAAATACATCCTTTTTGGTTGGTTGGCTTGTTTTTTTAACGCCGCACTCGGCAATATTCAAGCCATATGACGGCGGTCTGTAAATAATTGAGTCTGGACCAGACAATCCATTGATTCATATCATGAGCATCGATCCACGCATTTGGGATCGATGCCTGACCGTTAGTCGCATAAGTCGCCTCTGACGACAAGCATAGTCGCTTTTAACGGCAGCCTTGGGTTGCTGGAGACCTATTCTACCCCGGGTCTTCACTGGTCTTTTTTAGTAGCGCATACAGCTTGCCATGCTTCTGGTAAGAGGCGACTATGCTCGGCGCAAGAGGCTACCAGTGTCGTCAGGCCCGCTGACCCGGTTGATGCTTGTCAATGTATCACATTTGCATGGATCGATGCTCATGATATCAATCACCGGATTGTAATGGTCCAGACTCGATTATTTACAGGACGCCGTCCTAGGTGAACTGGTAATGAGGGTGTTTTCTATAAAATCAATATATAATCAACAATTAAGACCTGGTGCCATCATGGGCTTTCGCCGAATACCTGATAGTGTCTTCAGGATTGAAAGCTTGCTGACAGGGTTAAACTCGACCTTGAAAATAACCGTGGACTTGATTCATGATATTTAAGAAGATTGTGTTCCCTCTGAATCTTGTTTATGATTCAGAAGAACCAACATATATGCTCCTGCAAAATAACTTTTGGAATGACTTAAGACGTCACATCGGTTAACGTGTACATTTAGTTGGTTAAAACGTATAAAAACGAAATAACTGGAAAATATACAAATGTTTAATATGACCGAGGCAAGATATTTGGTATTGCAGTTCCATGGGAACATATTCTTAAGCAGTATAGAACATTACAAAAGATACTAAGTTTATTGATTTCCAGTTTAAATTCATCCATAAAATGTGCCCTGTGGTACACCTGCCAAGACAGCTTTTGGGTCTGAGCTATAGCCATTTATAACTACCTTTGCATATCGATTTTCCAAGTAACTAGTCCGGCCATTCCCACGCGGGTATTTAGTGAACATGAAAGGTACGACATAGTTAATATATTGTACATTATTTACTTAATTAAGTAACAATTAGTAAAGAGCTCAGTACGACAAGTGTTATCCTGAACACGCCACTAAAATCTGCCGATTAAAATGTTAAAGTATTCGACGAAACTTGTTTGATCCAACCATGCAGTTTAAAATATATCCTGTTATACCAAAACATTAAAGCAGTCATTTTACTCTCTAGAAACAAACAACAGAAGTATATAAGAAGATGCCATGCTCACTGATGTGATAATAGCCTGCTGAAGGCTCTGCGGTACAATATAAATATAGCAATACAATATGTACAAACATTAAAGCTATTTTTTTTAAATGCTCAAATATAGACTGAAAGATTGCTGATGCGATGTCAAACTTGGACACATTCACTGTACACTGCCAAGGTGTCGGAATGATTGACACTTAGCAACATCTATGTACGTTGTCCAAGTAACTCTCCAGAGAAATCTAAGTTCATAAGGAATTACAGGCTTTTAACCTGGATATTTAAGTCTCAGTTGATAAATGTGAAAAACTGCGTATGATACGAAAACGAGGATGTCTGGATCATGTCATTGTCTGGAGGATAGAATGATTGAGGTAACTCAGTAGTTTATACCTTGAATAAATTATATATAGCGTCAATACCAGAGAAAACTCAATCTCTGTAAACTGCTGAAACCGATTACATTGGTTTTGTGATACCTGACGAGGCAATAACAATGATACCCTTAGTAGGGGCTTCGTGTAAACTTCTGTTGACTCAAAGCAAAAGCACAAGTTTCAAACTAAATGTTAACGTACAGTGCCTGCCAAAGCAAATATGTCTTTATGTACTCAAAACAGATATTACGCTTCATTTTGTCAGGAATCCTTATGTAACAGCTTTATGTCGTCATTATATCACAGTATAACCCTATCACCTGTGGTCGTCGTCATTCCCCTGGTCATTAGTGTGGTACATCAGTGTGGTACCAACCCTCTGTCCCTGCCTTCAATGTGTGTGTTCGGACGATGGCGTCTGGTATATATAGCAATCAGTAGTTCACATGTAGCGTTTTCTCTTCTCTGGTGTAATTATTTAATCAACGGTTAGGTTATTGATTTAAGTGCGATCATTGATGTGTAGAATGTCCTACTGCAGTCGGGTAAGATTGAATAGAGTAGAGGTGCAGTACAATACCAATGGACATTAAGTTAAGAAACCTAGAGATTACTAATTTACATCATCAACAGTGTGTGTCAGGCTTCTTTATGCTTAATTATATTTTCCGGAGAATGTGTTTCTTTTAGAAATGCTATACAATAATTCAACATTAAGCTACATGAATATTTATAGATTAAGCCCTGCGTGTAAACAGAAATGTAAATATCTTTCACTATGTAATGGCATTTAGAAAATGATTTACTCGTTACCAGATTAACATTTGTCGATCTTTATTAATATTCAAGACCCCTATTTCCATTCAGTTGCTTCACCACTATACAGTCACTGTATTGTTCGAACCGTGTATAATTTCCCACGAACAATTTTGTCCAAATACATGTTGCTGACATCTTTGACATAGACATACAAACAGATTTTTTTTATATGCACAGATGTTTATCCTCACTTTGCCACCACACAGCAGGGGATAACAGTGAGCCAAAAACGCTCACAGTAGTTAGTGAGTGAACTCAACTGAGGATTTTACGAGTATCCATCATAACCTATGAAAGCTTACTCAGTTCATTGACATTTAAATAATAAAGGCACTGGCAGTTAACAAGTAATCAATGAAATAGTTCCGGCAACTTCATTGTAAAATGGCAAATGCACCTGTGATTGTCTAGTTCATTCCCAACTATCGTGGTGGCCATAGTCCTTTATATCAAGGCTTTAGGTATGGAGTGAAACGAAGAAGAGGGGCCCACAAGCTGTATGCTGCATGTCCAGGCACCGCCAAAACTTCTAATGATCTCACGACCAAGAACCTTGCGCATAACCATTGTCATGGTACAAGTATTCACAAGCAATTTCCTCTAATAATAAACTCTTTCCTTTGGTATCCCCAAGTCGCAATGCACAGAAATGGCACTTGACTATTGTAAAATCTCACCGGGTGATGGTTAAGATCACAAATTCTATAAACGCCCAGATAACATAGGAGTTTATTCTCATTTCCAACAGCCTCTTATAATTGATGATGAATGGTAGAGTCCCCCACAACACATTCTCTTATTAATTCTTACTAAAACAAATTAATTGAGCGCGTGTCTCAATTCAGTACTGTTCTACGGTCATCTTGTCACAATGGCTCGACTGGACCATATTGGCAAGATTCACGTCTATAAGTCAAACTGAAACCCGAGCCGTGTCACATGCGTGTTACAAGCGTTCTCAACGTGTGTAACGGGAATGAACTTCTAGGTATTTGTGTGCAATAAAAATGGATATATTACATTTGAAATCGTAACTTTGGCATCACATCAATGAAACCTCATGGATTGTGATAAATTTTCAATCCTTATAGTTATTGGCCATTTATTCTTAAATTTACGTATTTTATTGAATCGGAAAAACAATTAATATATTTCCCTTTTCACCCCTAAATGTACACATAAATACATTATTACAGTCATTCAGGAAATTAAGTGTATTAATTCTTAAATTGGCCTTTATGAAGACAATCTTGTAACTTATATTTGGAATAAGGTTTTATTGGATTAATATGGACACTATATGATTGACATTTTCTCTCTTTCATTCGTTCAGCAACCAATACAGTGATGGCCATATATTTTCCTTTCATTTTAAATATAGTTAGTTCCACTCCTTCGTCAACAATGTGCTGACACTATCACCTACCAGAAGCCCAAGAATGACCCAACTGGCAGACTAAAACGCCAACACGTGTCCATCCTGAAACCCCTTATAGGCACCTTTGAACTCAGCAGTATTACAAACTTTCCGTCACACACCCACAACCTCCCTATGCCCGTGCCATCATCAAGATCCATAAAAACAAGAAAGCTAGATTACTTGTATGTTTCAGAGAATGTGTACAGTTTACTCTTATTAACTGTTAAATGTCCTTTGTAAGGAGAGGTGTTTAAATATACTAAACCGCAAAAGAATCATTGCATGAAAAGTTGTAATTTAAATATCTGGGTAATTTTTGTCAAAGTTTCTAAAATTTAACATTACTTTGTGCAGAAAAATTAAATTTGATAAACAAAGCAGATGACAATAAAACCGATCGCTCAAACGCATCACGGCAACGGCCATGGAAACCCGATGCACGTGAGTTCCGTGCAAATTGAAATGCACATACGTTCCCCCATTTCTTGCCCTATAAAAGTCCACCCAGATCGGATAACATTCATTCGTTATTGAATTGCTACCACATGCCAAGATTGACAAGAAATCCGCGACACAAACGCCTTGGACGATTGCAAGCTGGACAAACCGCCCGGCAAGTAGCCAATGTATTTCAAGTCCACGTAAGGACCATATACAGGCTCCAGCAACGGTACCAGAC